TACTTTTTTTTTTTTTTTAAATCATGTACCTTCATCAACAGTTCAAAGATGGAATAACACAAGATATGATGAAATACATCAGTTTATTTACATGATTTGCAGGTCTTTGAAATTTGGGAAATAATTTTTGTTCCATAAACTAGAGTACATATGTATCTGTTGAATACATTTTTATATCAGATGCATTAACTTGAATTTTTGGCCTTGCTGTTTACTTCTGCTTGACCGGGCCTAGAGGTGTAGCAGAAGTAGAAACCCTTTAGCACAGTCCTTCAGAGTTTACAGAGTTTACAAAGTTTACTAATCTTCTCAAGGGTCTAAAAGTCAGTCTCCATCTGGAATGTGGCCCAACACAGGGAGAACGTGCAAACCCCTCTTCTCGTCCCCCGGCATCAGCAGCACTGCCAGTACTCAGACTGTAGTACACTGGTAATAGACAATTGTGGAAGAAGTACTCTGTTTTGTTGCTTAAGTAAAAGTACAGATAACAAAGCAAAAACATTCTCAAGTAAAAGTAAAAGTATCAAGTAAAATTATTAAAGTACATGTTTAAAAATGTAATTTGAGAGTAAAAAGTAAAAGTTTTTCAAGCAGATTTTGAATTCTAATAAAGTTGAAATGTAGTGATTTTGACAAAGATAGAAACAATTCTTTTTTGTTGTTGCTGTTTTTATTTGTATATTTTTGTTTGCTCTAACTATAACCTTGATAAAAATAAAAATAAATAGTGCAGGATTTTCAGCAGGTCTCACACAGTAATACAAATACTTTTACTTTTCAGTCCAGTTCAAAAATGTAGTGGAGTAGAAAGTATAGATACTTGCTCTCAAATGTAGTAAAAGTAAAAAGTATCCACATTAAAATGTTCTCAAGTAAAGTACAGATACCTAAGAAGGGACTAGTGCAAGTGCAGTAATCTATTTATGTATTTATGTATTGTTTTTATTGTTATGGATGCATGAATGTGTTTATATTTATGAATTTTTACTGCTCTGGCCGAAGTTTCGCTGTATTTTGTACAATTACAATAAAACTAATGCTAATTAATTTTATTATATTAACGTAAAACTTAATATGTACCACCCCTGGTAAAAAACGTACACTTAAATCACGTAGTATCATCTGTAGTAGAAGTATTATTAACAGCAGTGATAGTAAAAGGAATAAAACAGTCTTACAGTAGCAGTAAAAGACTATAAGTACTTTGATATAATTATACAGACAATATTGCTGTGAAGTTTTAGTGGAATTTCATGTCAGTTTCAGTCTGGAAGGGCATCTGGCTTTTAACTCAATACACAACTGCTCATTTGGCAAGAAGTAGGTTTAAATAAAAGTTATATTAAGTATTTGCAACAGAAACACGTCATTTATTAGACATATTATTATTTTGAGTATTTATACCAGTGTTTCCCAAAGTTTTTTTCTGGGGATCCATATTTTAAAAGTCACAAACCTTTGCAACCCAAGTTAATAGACATTATTCATAAATCACAAAATAAAAGTGGATTTGACCATTATTGAACATTAATGAGGATATTTTATTGTTGTCTGAGTGATCGTGTCTCTCTGAACAATTAGTATTACTCAAGTTTTAAACAATGAAAAACAGTCATTGAAGCAGCAAAAAAAGGATCCATAAGTCGCCTATTTGGACATTAAATGTAGCTCATTTCTTTTTCTTTTCAACATTCAATTGAACCAGCAAAATTGGAACAAAATAGTCAACATTTCTAATGAGATATGTGGGCCGGACTGTGTTTTTGTAGCGTGTTCCAGTCCGGTTTGCAGGAGGAGACGCAGCAGCAGATCAGACGCAGCGTTCAGTCTGTTTCTGTGCTTTGTTTTCATCTTTGTGAGCACAGATGTGTCATGTGTCAGAACTGTAAACTGCAGAGCTACATGCAGATTGTGACAAGGCGACCCAAAAAAAAAATCTCTTGCGATTCACCGAAGGGTCACGGTCCTAGTCTTTGGGAAACAATGATCTACTGGACTAACAGTAAAAGGAGCTGTTAACTTGAAAACTAATGCTTCGTGACATCACAAGGTGGAAAAGAGCATTTTGAGCTTCAGAAAATAAAGGTGGATTTGAACCATTATTGAACATTAATGAGGATATTTTATTGTTGACTGAGTGATCGTGTCTCTCTGAACAATTACTCAAGTTTTAAACAATGAAAAATAGTAATAAAAGTATTCATAAGTGTCCTGAAGTCCTCTGACCTTTGCTGATTTGTCATTCTTCATTCTTTTTGGACAACCAAGCTGCATTTCTCAACTTTAGCTGCAGGAACACTCAGGGCAGACAGGACTCGCTGACTCACTCGCTCTTTCATGTGTCAGAACTGTATACTGCAGACGTACATGCAGATTTTGACAAAGTGACACAGAAAAAATCTCTTGTGACCCACTTAGTTATTATTTTATTATTATACATTGTGTCCATTGTAAACTGTAATATCGATCTAAAACGGCTTAATAATAGAAAAAGGTTCAGCTGATGTTAAAGGCCCTATATTACACAAAATTAACTCTTGTGAGCTTTAAGTCATGTTATAATGTTGTTAATTCGTCAAAAACAGACCTGGAGTTGCGTTTTGTTTCGTTCACACATGTTTGAGTAACTCTGTCTACATCTCCAAAGCTCAAAATGCTCTGTTCCACCTTGTGATGTCATGATGAAGCAGTAGTTTTCAAGTTAACAGCTGCATTTTAGCTTTTGTTCAGCTGAGAAAATAAATGGGCAATTCCAGCGCTGAAACTAACCAAATGATTCTAGTGAAAGTGTGTTGAGTTTAAAACCACAGTGGCACACTTTCTGTATCACCACCTGACATTTCAAGTGTTTTCTGTTTGAGAAAAGACCTCAGCTTAAATATGCAGGGTTTGTGTGTTAATTAAACATGTATGAATGAAACAAAACACAACTCCAGGTCTGTTTGTGATGAGGAAAAAACATTATAACATAGATTAGAAAATAGTGTAATATGGACCCTTTAAAAGCAGAGGCGTCAAACTCAAATTCACAGAGGGACAAAATTAAAAACTGGGACTAAATCGTGGGCCAAACTAAATATTTACAGAAAGATTTCAACAACATCTGCATGTTTTCTTTTCTTTCAAGATATGTAATGATAAAACTTTTCTTATTAAAATTAATGTTTAATAATTAAGAATATAACAATATCCAAATCTCTCTGCATGGTATTTTCATGATATACATCTCATGGTACGATATTTATTGCGATATTAAAAGTAGCATATTAACAAAACTGTTAATGTGCTACTTTTTCCTCTTAAAATGCTTTGACAAAACTTAATCCAAAGAACTAAGACTTAAAAGTGATTAGAACTGTTATTTTTTCTTGTTGTCTGCACTAAAATGGAGCAAAGGATCATGGTCTATGTCAGTGGTGTCAAACATACGGCCCGGGGGCTGGATCCAGCCCTCCAAGATCTTTAATCTGGCCCTTGGCTTATTTTCTATTAAAATATTTTAATTTAATTATATTTTCTATAAAATATTGGTAATTTTCTGTGGTGTTTATCACAGCAGTGTCTCCAGTGTCTCTGTACGTGGCCCCTCCCACCAGAGCAGCACAAATGAAGACTTGTCTCTTTCCAAACGCTTTTAAAGGACGATTGTTTTGACTGTTGACCCTGACACCCTCATCAGAAAAATGTCAAAAATAAGAAAAGTGGAGCCGAGTGCAGGATTTTCCATGAAAAATTGACTTATTCCTATTTGCATACAAGTTCATGTTAACCCTCTCCAGGCAGGCGTTGCAGATTTGTAACAGCTAAATTCCAAGTACCTACTTACTCCACATCCATATTATATGAGCTTTTTTTACTCAGGAGCCTTTTCTCCCATCCATGCTGATAAACGTGGACGATGCAGACTGTGTAAGAATGGCTACGTGCAAACGGCCTGCCAGAAGTGCAAAATACTTTTTTTTTTTTTTTTTTTACAAAGGATAAAAAAGTCTGAATTGTATATTACTACCCCATATTATAATTTTCCCCAAATATCAGATTTTTCCTGATACTAAAAATGTATTTGAGCCTGAGAGGGTTAAAACATTGTGTTGAAATTTTTTTCAATTTTTCTTAAGTGTCGCAAAGATGTATTTCATATTTTAAGTACAAAAAGTCTTGTTCCATTCGTAGCAATAATGACATTATTGCTGAAACCCTTGTTAATTATCCTTGGTACATCAGAAGTATTTAATAATCTGCCTAAAATCAGACCAAAAGCAGTTCATTTCCTATTGTCTTATTAACGCAAAGAAACTACTCTTAATGTCATGTCAAGCTCTAAAATGTGGCTGCGAGACCTTGTAAACATTTTACATCTAGAGAGAATACGATACTTGTTAAAGGATAAACTGCAGTCATTTAAGAAAGTGTGGCAACCTCTTATTGATTTTTTTAGAATCTGTAACTATGTGAGTAACATCTCCAAACAAATCCACAGATATGTTGTTATGTTTGTTCTCAGTGTTGTGAGATTTATTTTTATTTTAACTTTTATATCCCAAAAAGTACTGAGCGCTGTTGATCCTGTACAATTTGAGTTGTGCTCTGTTTTTGGCTCAATAAAAATGTTATGACTAAACAGTGAATCCAGAACAAGCATAAGATAAAATAATAACAGAATTTTAAATAAATAATGTCTCTATTGCCTGTATCTGTAGCCGGCGGGCCTGAGTCTGACACATTTGCTTTAAAGAAACAGCATTAAGTCCAATTTAAACCTCGTACTTATTGTAAACACTTTTTGTTGTATTTTCATTTTTGATCACTGATGAAAATATTCTATAAATACGTGATCAATTCCTTTCAGTCATTCCCTTTGACTGTCACTGAAATTGGGTCGAAGTCAGTGGGTGTGTGGAAAGGGCGGAGACGCCTAGCGAAGATCTGACGTACTTCTTCTCAGCCCTCTTTGGGTGACGCTGTTTCCTGGTGCTTCCTGTTTTCACTCACCACTTTTGTGAAATCTTCACATGGGTGACAGCTCCTCAGCAGCCTCACAACTGAACCGTGACTCGAGCGACTATGGAGACTTTTGGATGCTAATTTATGAGAAGAAGAAGAAGAAGAAGAAGACCAGGATGAGAAGCTGAGTTTGAGCTGCTGCTGTTTGAGATGAGACAGTCCATCATGAGTTTGGTAAGTTTGTGTTTTGGAGCGGTGTTTGTACCATGTGGAGATGAAAAAAACACATACATATTAAATTAAACGTGCTCTCCGTAAAGATGTTATTGCTTTATCTTGAATGTTCCACAGTATGGCATTAAACATATCTATCTAAAAGCATTATAAAGGTAAGTTAAAATGACTTACGGAAAGGAACAAATGAATTTTTCTTATTTCAAGCAGTGTTCGATTTTGATTCTTACTTTAAGCACAAAGAGTTGTTGTTTTTCTTATCTTAAGTGAAGCAAAGATGTATTTTCATGTTTAATAAAATGACTTAAATTAAGAATATTTGACTTTATTTGAGGTAAATTATCTGCCAATGGACTAAATGTGTCTTTCTTAATTCGAGCAATTCGTTTAATTTTGTTTTTAAGTGCAAAGAGTTGTTGTTTTTCTTATTTTAAGTGAATGTATTTTAAGTACAAAAAGTCTTGTTCCACTGGTAGATCGTTTTACTCATCAAGTGAAATTTACTCAAATCAAGATAAAACTTTCTTAATTCAAGTCGTCTTAACTTGACTAGATTTTAGTTTTTTTAGTGAAAGTGACAAAAAAAGTGAAAAGTGACAAAAAGTGATTTACCAAGATTTTTTGTACTTAAAATAGGGAAATACGTCTTTGTTACACTTAAGAAAAGAAAAACAACAACAACTCTTTGCACTTAAAAACAAAATTAAATGCTCCGTGAATTAAGAAAAACACATTTAGTCCATTGGTAGACAATATGGTAGATAACATTTACTCAAATCATGAGTAAATGAGTCACTTTCTTAAATTAAGTTGTCTGATCTTGGATATATTTTAGTTTTTTCAGTGTACAAGTTATCTATGCTTTATACATTATCTACCAATTGACTAAATGTGCTTTTCTTAATTCACACAGCGTTTAATTTAGTTTTTAAGTGCAAAGAGTTGTTGTTTTTCTTATTTTAAGTGTAACAAAGATGTATTTTCATATTTTAAGTACAAAAAGTCTTGTTCCACTGGCAGATAATTTTATTTGTCAAGTGAAATTTACTCAAATCGTGATAAAACTTTCTTCATTCAAGTCATCTGAACTTGACTAGATTTTAGTTTTTACTCATAATTTAAGTTAAATGACTTAAATTATGAGAAAAATTATCTCCAATGAATGAATCAAATGTGTTTTTCTTAATTCAAGCAGCATTTAATTTAGTTTTTAAGTGCAAAGAGTTGTTGTTTTTCTTATTTTAAGTGTAGCAAAGATGTATTTTCATATTTTAAGTACAAAAAGTCTTGTTCCATTGGTTGATAATTTTACTTGTCAAGTGAAATTTACTCAAATCGTGATAAAACTTTCTTCATTCAAGTCATCTAAACTTGGCTAGATTTTCATTTTTTCAGTGTACATGTAAAAGCTGCACTGCGTAACTTTTCTTGAAGAGGGTACGCTACCGTCTTCATAAAGATGTTGTTGTTTTGTCTAGAAGGTTCCACAGTATGGCATTAAACATCTTTATAAAAGCAAGATCTATAGGTAAGTTAAAATGACTTAAATTATGAGTAAAATTATCTATAATGGACTAAACGTGTTTTTCTTCATTAAAGAAGCGTTTAATTTTGTTTTTAAGTGCGAAGAGTTGTTGTTTTTCTTTTCTTAAGTGTAACAAAGATGTATTTTCATATTTTAAGTAACAAAAGTAAGTACAAAAAGTCTTGTTTCGTTGGTAGAAGTGAAATTTACTCAAATCATGATGCAACTTTCTTCATTCATGCATGGCTAGATTTCAGGGTTTTTTTTTAGTGTACATATTAAAGATGCACTGCGTAATTTTCCTGGTGTTGAGTAAGCTGCCGACTTTTCTCCCTAAATATTTTATTGCTTTATACGGTATGAAATATATCTGTCTTCATGGTGACAAACAGTTGATGTCAGCAGGCCAGGCATGTGGGCAGATCTGTGGAGAGGTGACCTATTAGGAAATATACGTTTAATGCCATACTGCGGAACATTCCAGGCACAGAACGGTTCATGGAGGGAAGCAAGTGGCATACCCAAGAAATTAGAAGTTAGAAGTGCTTTGATTTAGATCTTGTCTAGTTTTTAAATGAAAAAATAAATAAAATAAAATTTGGTCAAAAATGTTCATAAGTAGCGTTATAGTTTTTTGTACATAATTTTACTTCAATAACAATTTCTCATCATCTTAGAGAAATTTTATTGATCCATAAGGGAACATAATTGCTCATACATTAGGAACTTAACAATATCCAAATCTCTCGGTGCGATATTTTCACGATACGCATCTCACGGTACGATATTTATTGCGATATTTTGGAGAGATGGGACACTTTTTCGCTTTTAAAATACCTTGACAAGAATTTGGTGTGAATTATTTCCGTCATAATCCCAAGAATTCAACTAAAAAACATGTTTCTTCATGTTGTCTGCGCTGAATTGAATCATGGGATATGTAGTTATCTATGTTTATTTGCTTTTACTACTATAAAACAATATATTTAAGCAAAGAAACTTATATTTCGATATATTGTGACGCCCCACGATATTATTGTGAGACTTTTGACGATACGATATCAAGATATTTCGGTCACACATCAACAACAACATAACAAAGTGTAAAAAATATAAAAAATGGTAACAAAACTTCTAAATAAGTAGAATAGGACATAAGACATAATTATATAAAAGTATGTACAGTAAGTAAAAAACAAATATCGCAATATAAACACAGAATATCACAGTTGTTTGTAATCTGATCAATCTGTAATCCATCATAAAATAACACAGATATTAGAGCAAAAATATGAAGTACTAGAATATGAAGTACAAACTTTTAATATTGTCAGTGCAATGTAGTACCCCAGTTAAAGTTTACTTTGATAACTACAAGGCCACAATAAGAGATTTTGAAGTCCGATATGATTCTGAAGTAAAAGTAAAAGATAAACAGAAATAGAAGACCCAAGAAGAGATTTAAAAACCACAAAAACTATTCTAAATGTGTCATATTGTTAAACAAACACGAGGTGCAATAAATAAACAGCAAAATTAAACACTTTTGTAGTTAGTTTGCATCTGAAATGAGTCATCGAAATGATTAATGCAACCCTTTACGTCTTTGTATCTCATAATACGACTGAAAACTAACCAAACATTTCCTAAGCTGCAGAAAGAAAATGAACACACGACAGTGAGGACTGACTGATTGTGGTTAAGATATTATAGACCTGTGTAGATTTGTAGTTTGTAATTGTGTTTCTCATCAAATTTATCTAATGTTTGTAAAGAGACACTGTGATGTATTTAACTGTATAGTGATGGTTTAAAGGTGCACTGTGTAACTTTTCTCTGTTTGACACCTTCTTGTTTCTACGGAGATGTCATTGCTCTGCTCAGAATGTTCCACAGTGTGACTTTAAACAATTTTGCTTGATATTTATTTAATTACAGGTGGTTTTAAAGCTTAAAAATACCAAGGAAAACAAAACATTCTGACTGTGAGTGGGGTCGCCTCTCCACAGATCTGACCTGTAACTTGAACTACTGATGAACTACTTCAACTACTACTACAAGAACTACTACTACAAGAACCACTACTACAACTACTACTTCGACTACTACTACGGAAACTGCTACAGATACTACTATGACTGCTACTATGAATACTATTGACTACATATACTACTACAACTACTACTTCGACGAATACTACTACAACTACTACTCTGAATACTATGAATACTATTGACTAGTACATATACTACTATGAATACTACTACAACTACAAGTTTGATGAATACTACTACAACTACAACTTTGACAAATACTACTTAAGTACAACTACTACTATGAATACTATGAATACTTTTGACTAGTACATATACTACGAATACTACTACAACTACTACTTCGACGAATACTACTACAACTACTACTGTGAATACTATGAATACTATTGACTATTAGTGGGGTCACCTCTCCACAGATCTGACCTGTAACTTAAACTACTGATGAACTACTACTACTACTACTACAACTACTACTACAAATTGTACTACAATCACAACTATTGCAACTACTAATATGAATACTATAAATACTATTGACTGCTACGTATACTACTACAACTACTACTAAGAATACTATGAATTCTGTGAATGTACTACTACTGTAACTACTACTTCAACTACCTTTACAAATTCTACTACAAATACTCCTATGAATACTACTACTACCACAACTACTATGACTACTAATATGAATACTATGAATACTATTGACTACTATGTATACTACTACAACTACTACAACTACTGCAACTACTACTATGAATACTATGAATACTTTGAATACTTTGAATACTATTGACTACTACGTATACTACTACTTCGACTACTACTACGAATACTACTACGAATACTACTACTACTACGAATACTACTATGGATACTACTATGACTACTACTGTGAATACTATGAATGAACAACTACAACTACTATTTCGACTACTATTACAAATACTACTATGAATACTACTACCACAACTATTACAACTACTACTATGAATACTATGAATACTATTGACTACTACGTATACTACTATGAATACTACTACAACTGCTACTTTGATGAATACTACTACAACTTCTACTACTACCAAAACTATTACAACTACTACTACGAATACTGGGAATACTATTGACTATTACGTATACTACTACGGGTACTACTACAACTACTACTTCGACGAATACTACTACAACTACTACTATGAATACTATAAATTCTATGAATGAACTACTACTTCAACTACTGCTACAAATTCTACTACAAATACTCCTATGAATACTACTACTACCACGACTACTATGTCTACTAATATGAATACTATTGACTACTATGTATACTACTACAACTACTACAACTACTACTACAAATACTATTATGAGTACTATGAATACTTTGAATACAATTGACTACTATGTATACTACTATTTCAACTACTACTACGAATACTACTACAAATACTACTACGAATACTACTACTACAAATACTACTATGAATACAATGAATGAACAACTACTATTTCGACTACTACTACAAATACTACTACATCTATTACCACAAATACTAGTATGAATGAACAACTACTATTTTGACTACTACTACGAATACTACTATGAATACTACTACAAATACTAGTATGAATGAACAACTACTATTTTGACTACTACTACAAATACTACTACAACTATTACTACAAATACTAGTATGAATGAACAACTACTATTTTGACTACTACTACGAATACTACTATGAATACTACTACAAATACTAGTATGAATGAACAACTACTATTTTGACTACTACTGCAAATACTACTATGAATACTACTACCACAACTATTACAACTACTACTGTGAATACTATGAATACTATTGACTGTGAGCGGGGTCGCCTGTCCGCAGATCTGGGCTGTAACTTGGTCTGGTTTGGTCTCCGTGAAGATAGAAAGGTTTAATGCCATACTGTGAAACATTCCTGACAAAGCTTAACATCTCCATGGAGACGCAGTACACTTTGGACTAAATGACTTCGCAAAACGATGACAAACTATAAAAAATATCACGTAGATGGAAATATTCTAAATTAGGAGTATGATTAAATTTCCTTTTTTGAACACTGAATATTTTAAACTATTTTTTCTGTCTTTTTGTTAAATGTAAATGTTTTGAACGTCTGTATAGAATAAAGTATATAGAGAGAGATACTGTATGTTCTGTTTTCTTAAAGGTGCACTATGTAACTTTTTGGTTGGGGGCTTGTTTCTATGGAGATGTCATTGCTCTGCCTAAAATCTTCCACAATATGACATTAAACAGCTCTACGTCATATTTATTCAATTGTAGGTGCCCAAAAACACCTTAAAAAAAAACTGGCATTCTGAGTTTGAGCGGGGTCGCCTCTCCACAGATCCGACCTGTAACTTGGCCTGGTTTGGTCTCCGTGAAGATAGAAAGGTTTAATGCCATACTGTGAAATATTCCCGACAAAGCCAGAGCTGGGACCAAGTCGTTGTTTTGCAAGTCTCAAGTAAGTCTCAAGTCTTTGACCTCAAGTCCAAGTCGAGTCTCGAGTCACTGGCCCATAAGTCCAAGTCAAGTCCAAGTCATCTGCTTTGAGCTTCAAGTCATTTCAAGTCTTTAAACCAAAGTACCAAATATAGTTTAGATTTTTGCAATTTCTATGAATTTTAAAGTAAATTGTCCTAAAAAAAATCATAGTATATTTATATATGAGTATTTATAGATTATATAAGAGTTGTAGAAATGTTATTTTTTCCTTTTTAAATGTCTTCACAAGATCTTAGTGTCAATCATTATGGTCAGAATAGAAAGAATTCAGATTTTAAAGTGCTTCTCAAGTCTTCTCAAGTCACAGGCCTCTTCAAGTCTGAGTCAAGTCCCAAGTCATTGACCTTCAAGTCCAAGTCGAGTCCCAAGTCTTAGTCCATTTTATCAAGTCAAGTCTCAAGTCCTAAAAAAAAAGCATTTAACGGACCCTCCACCAGAAAAGTTACACAGTGCACCTTTAAATATTAAAACGTTCAAAGTAAAGTAACTCTAACCCCAAAAATATACAGTTCTAGCTTTCATATATTGAACAATAAGTAGATATAGTAATTATGGTGACAGGCCTAGTAGCACCTTTATGTGTGGGAGCTCTAAACAATCAGAGAAGACTTTAAAGAGTATGTGAAAGTATAAACAACTGGGTCAGTTACCACACCAAACTAAGTTACAGGTCAGATCTGCGGAGAGGCGAATTTTTCTTCCAGGTGAATTGGCCTAAATTACCTTGCATCAATTAAAAATGAACTTTTTACTGCAAGTTTTTTTTTGAAAATCTACCTTGATAAAGCAAGTATTTAATATTTAGTGTGTGGTTTTGAGAATTTTAGCATGAATTAAGTCTGATGGCTCATTCTAATGTGTTAAACATGCACATATTTTAATTATTCACTGTACTGAGCACCAGTCTACGGCCCTCGATCAGCCCTCTGCTTCATCTGTGTTTAGATATGTGGCCCTTGATGAAAAAAGCTTGGACACCCTTGTTCTAGTATATTTTGAGCTATAAAACCAGCTGTAATTCAATAAAAGGAAGGTAGAGCTGTTTAAAGGGACAGTCTGGAATTTTGGACACATGACCTCATGTCCTTGTGAGCCAGAGTGTTGGAGACGTGTGGAGACACTTTTTAAAATATTCCATCCAGTCCTTGTATTTGCAGAGGTCACTGGTGCTAGACTAGTGCATGTCAATGGCCATAGTTATCCTGCCACTAAAAACACTCTTACCCACTCCACAAAACACCTGAAGTAAATCTATTATTACACCAGACTGTCCATGTAAATTGTTATGTCGATAGAATAATTTTAGAAGTAAAACCAACCTTGCATTTGAAGTTTTTATGTCTGAGCAGCAGCAGTGAGTTGTACTTCCTGATAGAAAGCTTGGCAGCGGCGGACTGATTTATGAGAAAATAGTCCCTCAACACAGACATTCACGTCGACAGTCTGGTGTAATAATAGATTTGCTTCAGGCATTTTGTGGAGTGCGGTAAGAGTGTTTTTAGTGGCAGGATAACTATGACCATTGACATGCACTAGTCTAACACCAGTGACCTCTGCAAATACAAGGACTGGATGGAATATTTAAAAAAGTGTCTCCACACGTCTGTCCCTTTAAAGTCATACTGTGGAACATTCCAGGCAGAGCAATGGCATATTCATAGAAACAAGCAAGTGACAGACTAACCAACCAAAACGTTACAACATTGGGACTGGATTAAGAATAAATAAAAATAATCATAAAAACTGAGCTAAACCCGGGGTTAGAAGAAAGTGTGAACCCAGCTTTAATCTACAGTAATATTAAATTGTTATCTTTCTGATTTTATTTTCTACCAGGTTTGTGCTCTGATTCTCCTCTTCATCTCAAAATCTTTGGTGGTAGCACAACCAGAGAAGTGCCAACAAAACCCCTGCCCTCCTGGTAAGGCAAAGCATAAATATCACTACACATTTCACAATTATAACCAATGTAAATTAATAAACATATTAAATGTCCTATATTACACAAAACTAACTCCTCTGAACTTTTAAGCCATGTTGTAATGTTGTTATCTCATCAAAAACAGACCTGGATTTGTGTTTTTTTGTTTTATTTACACATGTTTGCCTTTATTATTAGTCTGTTTACATCTCCAAAGCTCAAAATGCTCTGTTGCACCTTGTGATGTCATGAATTGGTAGTTTTCCAAGTTAACTTTTTGCTTTTGTTCAGTAGAAAATCACAATTCCAAGGCTGAAATTAGTCCAAATGATTCTAGTGAATGTATATTAAGTTTAAAAACAAAATAGAGCACTTCCTGTATTACCACATGACATCACAAGGTGGAACAGAGTGTTTTGTGTTTAAGAAAAAAACCCAGGCTAAACATGCGGGGTTTCTGTGTTAATTAAATATGTGTGAATGAAACAAAACACAACTCCAGGTACGTTTGTGATGAGGAAACAACATTAAAACATAAATTAGATAATAGTGTAATATGGGCCCTTTAATATCATTGTAGGTTATTACAGAAAGAAGTGTGGCCCTGATAATAGCTGGAATTTATGTCAAAAATGTAAGGATGGATACTACATGGACACAGAAAACACTGCAAGAACTTGTATCCAGTGTACGAAATGTGGTGGTAAGTATATTATTCCCAAAGTTTTTTTTTGTTTTTTAACTTAATTCTTCTTTTTTCTTTGCACCATTTCTCCTCGTGTCCTGCATTTCTATTATTTATTTTTAGTTGTATTTTACTTTTTAATCTCTGAATAAATCACAGAATTTATTTGATGGTGTAACTTTTCAGTTTCGGGGTCCATCACCTGCTTGTTTCTATGGATACGTCATTGCTGTGTTTAGAATGTTCCACAGTATGACATTAAACAGATCTACCTTACATTTATTCATTTATTACAGGTGGTTTTATTGGTCAGAAAGACCCAGAAAAATAGGCATTCTGACTGTGAGTGGGGTCGAATCTCCACAGATCAGACCTCTAACTTGGTCTGCTTTGGTCTCCATGACAACAGAAAGGTTTAATGCCATACTGTAAAACATTATGGACAAAGCAATAACATGTCCATGAAGAAAAGCATGTTGCATTTGCATGAGAAAAGCAAGTAGCACTGTTTTAGTAATTTAGTATTTTGATATTTTTGACCACATTTGCCATTATAATAAACTCAATCATCATCATCGTTTTGGTGATTTACTTTACTTAAGTTTACGCCATATGAATCTATTCTTCTTACCCTTAAACAAATTAAGTTATTAATCAAATTGGCCAAATTGGACAAAAATTGTGCAAAAGAAGAAACAGATCCACGTTGCAGTTCTTTGGAGCTCTTACATTTTTATTTATTTATTGGGGTTAAGCCCTTCTTAAGACATGAACAAATACACCACTTTAAAACAGAGTGAACACCTGTTTGTATTAGGGTTGGGTTCATTAAGAAGTTGCCGATACGATACATACCTCGATACACAGGCCACGATACGATACATATCTTGATACAGTGATCTTACGATTTGATACGATATATTTCACATCGATTTGATACGGTTCAATAAAAAAATGTGTCTAAATCATGGCTGTGACACTAAAAGTCTTTGTTAAACCACTTCTTGTGTAAAGTTCATATGAAACACAAACATTTTAATCATCAAAACAGTGAAAATGTGGATTGTGTTGCATAAACAAGTTTCCTTCCTCTAAACATGCAACAAAACTGTAGCGATGTAACAAAATAATTTAACAAAATATACCAAAAGATACTCTTGGTGATATATCGATACAACAGCCCATGATATTGACACTGTATCATCACATTAAATGATACGATATATCGATATGTTTATATTTTTGCATACCCCTAGTTTGTACTATAGAATTCATTCAACAATTGTAATCTTTTTTTTTAACATTGGGACTGATCATATGGTGGGTCAGGAGACTAGACCTGGGCCTGTATATAAAACAGGTGTGAGACTAAACTTTTCCTCTTTGAAGAAGGGCTGCCTAAAATGTCACATTGTGGTGGCAAAAGGAGAAAATCAATTTGTTTATTTGGTGGAATACGTTTCTCAGCTCATTCAAGCTGCTTCTTCAGTTCTGGTCAAAATGCTGGTGGATACTAGCCTGATTCGTTCATTCTTCTACGAAGTGAAACCGGCATTAGGATTCGTTTGCTCGACGATAGGTGGGTACATTTTTTATTTAACCAATCGCTGCTATTTGGTTGTGACGTATGTAATGCGCCACTAACGGGGCTAACGGAGCTTTTCCCAAATCCCGTAGAAAGAAGGGCAATAACGTCTTTCCCCTTGATAAAATTCACCAAACATTCTCTTTGTTCTGGCTTTAAATCCTCGATCTCGGGAATCGTTGACAACACAGAATATATGACTCTTCGTTGATTGGCTTGCACTTCTGGGGTTTTTGCAAACCGTCTAGTGTACTCCAATTCCTGACCTAGATGCTGGAGAGAAATGAAAATTGAGCGGAGGCACTAAGTGGCACCAGCCTGACCAGGTGGACACTGCCTTGAGCCAACCATCACATTGTGGTGTCATTAAAATAAAAATTTGGGGGCTCCAAAGTGCACATCTGTTTCTTTTTTGCATAACTTTAAACATTTCCATCTAGCATTTATTCATTACAGGTGTTTGTGTTGCTCAAAAATGCAATAATTTCTTCTGTGAACAGGGGTGACTCTCCATAGATCTGAATTGTAATGTAGCGTAGTTGCTTGTCTCCCTCTATAATCTATACTGTGGAACATTCCAGACAAAGCAGTCATATTTCCACTCAACTAGAAATGTTACACAGTGCACCTTTAAATGCAGACTCATAATTTCAGCAGATTGACCACATATTGTGCCATGTTCTTTCTGCTCAGTCAATACGGTGATGAAGAAACAATGCACTTCTGTTTCTGATCGGCAATGTGTCTCGAAAGGAAGTGACAGGAATCTTGGTTGCTCGTCCTGTTTGAGTATGTACTGTTATGTTTTATTTCAAATTAGCGATGTAACAATAACCGAAATATCGTGATATCGTATTGTCAAAAGTCTCACAATATATCGGATTACAAGTCTGTTTGCTTAAATTCATTGTTATGGTGCAGCAATAGTTAAAGAAAGCAGAGAAATACATAGACCATAATGCTTTGCTCTGTTTAAATGCAGACTACATGAAGAAATATCTGCTAATAATAAGAATAATGATAGTTTTTTGGATGTTAGTTCTTTGGATAATGACAGAACCAAAGTCTTTTGAATGCATTTAAAAAGAAAACGTAGCATATTGTTCACAAAATATCACCATAAATATCGTACCCTGAGATGCATATTGTGAAAATATCATCGATAAATTTGGATATCGTTACATCCCTATTTCAAATTACCCAAAATATATAAATTGTGATTTTAATAAAAAAGTAATGACTGTTTTTTGTGTACGTGGCAGCCACAAGGAAAAAGCATACCGAACCCCAGAGGTAAGACATATTTATGTTTTTAAATCTGATGAAATGATAAAAATGAAATAAGTACTTTACTTATTTTATTAGTCAATTCATAGCATCCTTTACTGGCTCATACCATTTTGTAAAGTAAATTTGGGTATTTATGTACTTATCTTTTATTGGACTAAATTAACGGTGCCTTTTACTTGTGTTCATGTTCTGTGGTTTCTGTTTTTAATATGCTTAAATTTGTCAGATTGAATGTTTGTGTGTGAATTATTATTATTATTATTATTATTATTATTATTATTTATTTTTTTTTATCAAAGTTGTATTTTGTTTTTCAGGGTAGTGGAGTGTAACCCACTGTGCATACTGTTAACTACACATGATACCACTGCAGTTACTACTAATACTACTACTACTACTATTTCTGCTACTACAAGAGGAGCTTCAAATGTCACAACAAAATATATCTGTAAGTCCACTCTCATATGTATTGTGTCTTCAGAGATTGGTTATTTCATTTGGGTTGCCAGTTCCTTCAACTAAAATAAGCCCCAAAGAACTCTTTGGGAAGATGTGATGACAACCTCCGGCGGTAGTAAGTCTGACAAATCTAGGAAAAATAAAAAAATCAACAACAACAACAACAACAACTCAACAATTACAACTGTTTTCATCATTTCCCCGCTGACACACGACTCCGACTCCTCTCTTCTCGTTGCGTGGGAACATACAAATTGTCATCGCATGTTTCCAAACGTCTTCCTTGTTTGTGACGTAAGCGTGAATAGAGCCTTTCACGAATCAGTGCTAGTGCGGCCTTTGCAGCTCAGTGAGTGTATTCTGGAGGTTCTGAGCTTTCACATGTCCATATACCTCGAATGAGATAAAGCTGTACAGTATGTGTTGTCTGTTGTACAGTTGTAGGGAGTATTATCTGTTACATAAGATAATTGTTGTACAGTTGTAGGGAGGATTACCTGTTAAATAAGTGTGAGTTGTTATACAGTTGTAGGGAGTATTATCTGTTACATAAGGGTGAGTTGTTGTACAGTTGTAGGGAGTATTATCTATGACAAAAGGATGATTTGTTATACAGATGTAGGGAGTATTATCTGTCCCATAAGGGTGAGTTGTTGTACAGTTGTAGGGAGTATTATCTATGACAAAATGATGATTTGTTATACAGATGTAGGGAGTATTATCTGTTACATAAGGGTGAGTTGTTGTACAGTTGTAGGGAGTATTATCTATGACAAAAGGATGATTTGTTATACAGATGTATTGAGTATTATCTGTTACATAAGGGTGAGTTGTTGTGCAGTTGTAGGGAGTATTACCTGTTACATAAAGGTGAATTCCTGTACACTTGTAGGGAGTATTATCTACTACATAACGGTGAGTTGGTGTACAATTGTTGGGAGTATTATCTGTAACATAAAGGTGAATTCTTGTACAGTTGTAGGGAGTATTACCTGTTACATAAGGGTGAGCTAGTGTACAGTTGTAGGGAGTATTATCTGTTACATAAGGTTTGTTACAGTTGTAGGGAGTATTATCTGTTACATAAGGGTGAGTTGTTGTACAGTTGTAGGGAGTATTATCTGTTACATAAGGGTGAGTTGTTGTACAGTTGTAGGGAGTATTGTTACATAAGGTGAGTTGTTGTACAGTTGTAGGGAGTATTATCTGTTACATAATGAGTTGTTGTACAGTTGTAGGGAGTATTATCTGTTACATAAGGGTGAGTTGTTGTACAGTTGTAGGGAGTATTATCTGTTACATAAGGGTGAGTTGTTGTACAGTTGTAGGGAGTATTATCTGTTACATAAGGGTGAGTTGTTGTACAGTTGTAGGGAGTATTATCTGTTACATAAGGTGAGTTGTTGTACAGTTGTAGGGAGTATTATCTGTTACATAAAGGTGAGTTGTTGTACAGTTGTAGGGAGTATTATCTGTTACATAAAGGGTGAGTTGTTGTACACAGTTGTAGGGAGTATTATCTGTTACATAAGGGTGAGTTGTTGTACAGTTGTAGGGAGTATTATCTGTTACATAAGGGTGAGTTGTTGTACAGTTGTAGGGAGTATTATCTGTTACATAAGGGTGAGTTGTTGTACAGTTGTAGGGAGTATTATCTGTTACATAAAGGTGAGTTGTTGTACAGTTGTAGGGAGTATTATCTGTTTGTACATAAGGGTGAGTTGTTGTACAGTTGTAGGGAGTATTATCTGTTACATAAGGGTGAGTTGTTGTACAGTTGTAGGGAGTATTATCTGTTACATAAAGGGTGAGTTGTTGTACAGTTGTAGGGAGTATTATCTGTTACATAAGGGTGAGTTGTTGTACAGTTGTAGGGAGTATTATCTGTTACATAAGGGTGAGTTGTTGTACACAGTTGTAGGGAGTATTATCTGTTACATAAGGTGAGTTGTTGTACAGTTGTAGGGAGTATTATCTGTTACATAAGGGTGAGTTGTTGTACAGTTGTAGGGAGTATTATCTGTTACATAAGGGTGAGTTGTTGTACAGTTGTAGGGAGTATTATCTGTTACATAAGGGTGAGTTGTTGTACAGTTGTAGGGAGTATTATCTCTTTCATAAGGGGTGAGTTGTTGTACAGTTGTAGGGAGTATTATCTGTGACATAAGGGTGAGTTGTTGTACAGTTGTAGGGAGTATTATATCTGTGACATAAGGGTGAGTTGTTGTACAGTTGTAGGGAGTATTATCTGTTACATGAAGTTGAGTTGTTGTACAGTTGTAGGGAGTATTATCTGTTACATGAGGTTGAGTGGTTGTACAGTTGTAGGGAGTATTATCTGTTACATAAGGTGAGTTGTTGTACAGTTGTAGGGAGTATTATCTGTTACATAAGGGTGAGTTGTTGTACAGTTGTAGGGAGTATTATCTGTTACATAAGGGTGAGTTGTTGTACAGTTGTAGGGAGTATTATCTGTTACATAAGGGTGAGTTGTTGTACAGTTGTAGGGAGTATTATCTGTTACATAAGGGTGAGTTGTTGTACAGTTGTAGGGAGTATTATCTGTTACATAAGGTGAGTTGTTGTACAGTTGTAGGGAGTATTATCTGTTACATAAGGGTGAGTTGTTGTACAGTTGTAGGGAGTATTATCTGTTACATAAGGGTGAGTTGTTGTACAGTTGTAGGGAGTATTATCTGTTACATAAGGGTGAGTTGTTGTACAGTTGTAGGGAGTATTATCTGTTACATAAGGGTGAGTTGTTGTACAGTTGTAGGGAGTATTATCTGTTACATAAGGTGAGTTGTTGTACAGTTGTAGGGAGTATTATCTGTTACATAAGGGTGAGTTGTTGTACAGTTGTAGGGAGTATTATCTGTTACATAAGGGTGAGTTGTTGTACAGTTGTAGGGAGTATTATCTGTTACATAAAGGTGAGTTGTTGTACAGTTGTAGGGAGTATTATCTGTTACATAAGGGTGAGTTGTTGTACAGTTGTAGGGAGTATTATCTGTTACATCACTGTGTAACAGGGTCCACCATTTGCTTGTCTCTGTGATGACGCTATTGCCTATGGCTTTGTCTGGAATATTCCACAGTACACCATTAAACGTATCCATCTGACATTCATCAAATTAAAGTTAAAAATACCTCGAAATACATGCTTTCGTACTGTGAGTGGGGGTTGCCTCTCCATAGATCTGGCCTGTGACTAAACAAGTAGTGATGATGATGTTAAATCTCTGTCAGTCCCTGCAGGTGTGGGCCCTCTGGTGTGGGTGCTGGTGTTTGTGGTTCTGCTGATTCTCGTGTTCTGCGTCAGTGTCCTGTTATTGACAAACCTGTACAAATACGTGCACGTCTACTGCCCCTGCTGGAGAGTCAAGGAACACGCCGAGGCCCCTCTGCAAGCAGACAGAGGTAAAGGACACACCTGAAATCATAGAATCTGTAAAGACGTGTATAAAGAAGTGGATAAAGAAGTGTATAAAGTGTTCAGCTCGAGTCAAATGAAGCTCACGAGGCTTGCAGTTATAAGGAAAAGGAGTTTGTTTACGTACAAAATAGTGAAATAAAAACACAGAATCATCTAGAGTGGGTTAATATGAACATTTTAAGACCGAAATGACGAGCCTCACTGTTACAGAAATAGGGGTGACAATATCCAATATAAAGTCAATTAGAGCCAGAGTTGATGGAGCCAGAAATGTCTTTGTTCATGCTTTATTAAGGCTGATTAAAATGTAGTTATTGCAAAAATGTTTTCGTCAAAATAAACACGGTTTTCTATTATCACTTTTACTGTACTGCTACATTCTTCACTTTCACACATGCAAAGTCAAAAGATTTAACAGCTTGAAATGATTAGATAAAACGTAACATATGTTCAAATGTTGCATATCAGCTGTGTCTTTCTGTAAAACTGCAAAGACTTTCATGAAACAGGAAGCTGACTTATTATCTTTTCTCTGAACAGAGCCAGGCTGCCTTCAAAGCCCGACCACACTGGTGCGTACTCTGGCCTTTCCTGATAACTATCTTTAAGTTTGCATCGCTTCTGCGAGTGCTTCATTCCACCCCTAAAATGTCACCAAAAGTTCATTTCAGACCCATGAATGTTCTCACATGTAAACTTTTTGTAGGTTCAGGATTTTACCATCTATGAGGAAATTCCCATGTTCGATGCCATGAGCCCTGTCCCCCCGAGAAATCCTGCCAATGGCGCCCCCCAGCTGTCAGAAGAGGAACACAGAGGTAACGCACATAAAGACAAAAGAGTTTATAATTACCTTTATCAGAAATCATACTGAAGTAAGAGTACCACTACTTCAAGGGATGTTTGTTCTTATCTATCGGCTGGATGTAACAAAACTTCAATTTTCAGCTTGTTCTGCTGTTGTGACGCTTCGACCAGTCAGATAGTCGACATGACATTCTGTGTTTTCCGAAAGCTTTCAGTGAGAGCCGTCTCAGACTGATAAAAACAATATAGATCTAAATTCACAGTGATTAAAATAAATCTGCCATGAGCCCGGTTATTTATCTTATGCCAAAACCATATGTGATATATACAATAATATCATGAGAAAACTAGATTTATTTCTTTGTTTTATGTGGAGCTTTTATTGTCTGGGCTGCCTGATAATTATACTGCTACAGAAGCTCCTGTGCACATCAGTGTTTGCACTATCTAGAGTCAAATATATTCACATTTTCCTTATTTGGGTTAGTTCTCATTTGAAACTGTATTAAAACAAAAACATTATAGTCTTGTTTTAGATCAGCTATACACCTGTTTTCATCCTGGTGTTACTCTGAAAGCCAAATATTAGAAGGTTAAAGATCAGTGGTGGTGAGTTTGCCCAGTCCCACATGGGCACTATGCTGGATAGATTTTCCCACTGTGGGGACTAGAACACTGATTTCAGAAGAAAGAAAATAATGAATCATATTTGAATGGGCATTTTTTTACCAATTAAATCTGCGCACATTTGCTGTTGAAGAGCCAGGTCTAAACAAACAATCTGTATGAGGCAGTATTTTCTCACTCTACCTCAGAAACATGTTTGCATAAGTTTCAGTTCTGTGGCTGTTGTGGGGAGGTAGGACCTGAAAACAGTGGCTTCTACAGATCAGACAGAGCTGCTCCTGAGTCTGAGTACCGCCTCACTCAAAGATTTATATCTATTTTCCATAATATAATGAATTCATGTGACTCAAAATGTAGATGTCTTTTAATTTGCTTGAGTAATTTAAAGAAAGCAATAATGATGATGTTTGCAAATTCTTGGATGTAACTAGAGGCATTGGTACACTGAAAAAAAAAGGTAGCTGGATTTGCGTTAAAAAGTTATGGAAAGCGGTTGCATGCAATAAAATTATGTTTATGCTTTGAAACTTATTCCGATCCCCTCTACACATATTTTTCTCAGAACATGAATGTCACTTTTTCATGTTGTTGAAATTTGATCAAATCATGCTGAATATGCATATTTATCTTATGGTACCTTATCGTGAAATGTATAAGTATGTATAATTTTATTTAATTGATCTAATTCTGTAAAAGAATACAAAAACAGTCTTTAGTTTTCCACAGTTCTGTATTGCCTTAACAGAATCAAACACACAGAGCACAAGTACAGAGACACACAGTTTGGAGCTGGACAGTGTGAAGATTTATTCCAGTGAAGACGCTCTGGTCTCTGCCTGTGGACACAGGAATAACACATGATCACATTCTGATGATCTACTCTCTTGTACATGTTTAAATACATTTAAAGTACCTATAATGGACCAGAACAGAATCACGAGAACATTAGAACTGTATCTGCAGAAACAAAACTCACCGTGTGCTGCTTTTCTTCCTCTAAACGCAGTAACAGGGAGGGCATCTGGTATAAAGTCTCCTAGTGCCACATCACCCTGTAGAAACACGATAACTGTTTCAATAGTTCAGTATCTGTACTTTTACTTAAGTAACAAAATTGAGTACTTTTTCCACCACTGCCTACAGGGAAATATATTGTGTCCATATATTGTGTCCATGATAATTCTGTGATTAATATAATATCATCCATGAAATAAAAAAGCTTTTCAGAAAACTAAACTAAAAAACTTAAATTAAAATAAAACAAAAACTATGAAATCTTCTAAACAGAGATATATATTAACATTCACTTTTTGGACAAATTTAAATTACTTACAGACAAATTTTTGCATATTTTACCTCTGATTTTCTGTCTTCAGCTGATGTTTATTTCATCAAGTTCCACACTTTAACAGTTCAAAATCCTTGCTCTGCTTCAGATGTTCCACAGTGTGACATTAAACAGATCTACAGTACTGCACATGTATTCAATTACAGGTGGTTTTAAAATACCTAGAAAAACAGGCATTCTGACTCTACCTCTTATTTTTAGCCTTATTTCCATTTAACTGGGGCTTGTTTCCTTTTTTAGACGTTGGCTGGGTTTTAGCTGGTAACTCTACACATATATTTGACCCACAGAAACAGTAATATTTGAATGAGGTCAGAGAGGCAGTCCTGTGCGTAGAGCACATATATTCCACTTTACTTTCTGTCTCTGAAAACCCCTGTGGTTTGAACAGAGCAGGAGAACTGGCCACCTTCTGCAAAGGTAACCTTTATCTGACTTTTAGATATACTGTATGTGTAGATGGTTTGGAGATATCATCAAAACAAAAGGTCCCCTCTGCCTCGCTCTCCTGGTTCTGAACCTCAGCACCTGATGAACTGCACCAGGTTTCTTGACATTTACAGTGTGCACGTTAACATTCCTGGTTGTGCAGAAGATATTGATCTTTCTGAGCAGAGGAGCCGTTTCCTCGTTTTGTGGGTTTTGGTCTCTTCCTCTCACTTGCTTAAGTGCACTGGTAAATACCCTTTAAGTGAATGAATGTGAAAGTGAATTGTGGCCTGCTCCGCCAACTGTCAAGTTGCTGCCTGCTATGGCTCCTAGAGCTACGGCTACAGAGAACTTTAATGAGCCTCAATATAAAAGTCTTGTATTGTTGATTACAAGTTCTCATTTAGACCTGCTTTTAATTTTTATAAAGTCTTGGATTTGATGAAGCAAAAATACAACAAAGCCCAAAAAGCTAAAGTAAGGCTTTCTAAATAGAACAATATAATGAGGGAAAAAACTCCAGCTCCAGTTTGCAATTTTACACGCACAACCTGGAATAGACACTGGTTACCATAGCGACAATGTGAGACCGTTGTTAATGTGTGTGTGTATATATATATATTTATTTATTTTTTTAAATATATATATATATTTTTTTTTTCTTGCAGTAATTTGATTTACATCATCCGACGTGTTTTTCTGCCCTCTGGTGGCCATTTTCCATGTCTACAATCCCTAATCAAATATTGATTGTTTTTGCTCAAATGAATGATCATAGTTATATAAGATTTTGGTGCCGCTGTAATTCGGCGGCCCCGGGCTCCAGCGCTTAACGCTGAGCTCATGGGGATGGACCGGACGCGGTCCTGCCCCGCTTGTCATTAGGACAGGCCTGGGCTGTGATGAGTGACACCGGTCCGGTGCTTTGACTTTTCTTCATCCACGTATCTATTTTATTTTATTTTTTTGCGTATTTGTTGTGAAAACTCGCCGCTGGCAGCTTGGAATTCTCAGGTGAGACTTGAGGAGTTTGCGTGTACCCTCCAGTGTCTGAGTGCGTTACTGTGGGTTCTCCGAAAAAAACACACAAATCAGGCCTAACCTCGGTAAAAGCTGGAGGACTTTGAACTTACAAATGCAGTGTAACAGAGCGTGGCCAGAGCAGCCTGTGGTGTTTTCTCTCAATATTCCAAATCGCTGTGGTGAAGGTGAAGGCCTTTTGCAGCTGCGCGTTTCCTCAGCAGTCATTTTAAAAAGTCACCACAAGGGGCGCTGCTCCACAAGAGTTTATTTGGCTGCACACGTGCATAGCCAAGCCTTAGGCCCTATGGTTAAAGGGACATGTAGTTTGAGCTCTACTGTTTTAAAGGTTACCTTCTTTCAGACTTATTTAGATGATAGGCCAAGTTGAAATGTTTAGCTGCTCCCTCATTCATACTATAGGCCATGTGGGTGAAGTGCCTTGCCTAATGACACAGTGACGGATATTGCCACTGGTGTCCCACTGTGGCACCTGGTATTCTCAGCAGGCTCCCATTTAAGTACTAGCCAGGTCCAGCCCTGCTTAGCTTCTGAGATCTGATGAGAACAGGCTTGGACAAGGATGTTTGGCCACATCATTATAACCGTATTTAAACTATATTTTGACTCTTGTGTTCTTGTCTGATTCTTAGCTCTCCTAGACCAGACCCAGCGGGAGCCCTTCCCTGCCATCGTCATGTACGCTGTGATAAAAGAGGTGCCTCTGCGTCGCTGGAAGGAGCTCATGCGTCTGCTGTCGGTGGCAGATCAGCAGCTGGAGCGGGTGGAGCTGGACGTGGGCTTGAGCTCTATGGAGAAACAGTACCAGCAGCTCAGGCTCTGGAGTCAGAAGCCAGGAGCTAAAATGGATGATATTTACTCAGCACTTCACTACATGGAGCTGATGCGATGTGCACAGATGATCAGGGAAAGTCTTGACCAGATACAGCAAAGACCAGAAGGGGACGCTGTATAAAACAAACTAAAGATTACAGCCCTGTTATATTTGGTGCAGAACATTTTAGAATTTTCTTTTTTAACCTCAAACCCCAACTAGTATAACTTCTCCAAACAGAAGTCATGAAGATTATGATATGAACTCACTCACAGCATCTTAGGATCAGATAATAATTTGCCGCCAAGCAGGTTTGAAAGGACTCCGTAGTTGTAGTACTGCAGTCTTATGATACTGTAGTACTGTAATCTTTTGATACTGTTGTACTGTAGGCCTTGAGTTCTAAACACGAACATGTTATTTATTTATTTTAGTAATTTCTGTGACTCATGACTTGACTCTGAACACAAACTTTGGCTACATTTAGATGTCCAATGAAAATCTGAATCATCAGATCCCAATAATTCAGTCAGAATTTTGGTGTGTTTACGTGCACAAAAGAAATCTGATAAAAATCCATTTCAAAATGTTGTATTTGATAGACAATGACAATGAACTGTAAATATTTCTTTCTACTTTTATAATTTTCTCTTTATTTTTTATTTGTCTCTTTATTGCATAATTTTACTTGTCAAACCTGCTCAGGTGTGGACAGTCAGATGTTTGATGTGGATATAAACAGAGACACTGGGACTAGGTTCAGAGCAGAGAATTTGGACTGGAGCTTGTAAACTCTCAACCTGGATCTGTACAGGCAAGTGCAGAGGGGGAGATATAGGGGGCGCTATAGCAGGGGTATTCTTGCCCTACAAGTTCCCTTTTCTATCTTTTTTTAATTTATGCCTCCACAACCTGACAGATTTTCTCTGCACAACCATGTCTCTGACTCTTTAGACTGTTTTGTTGCAAGCAGGACTAAACCAGAACTGAACCAGGACTGAAAAAGGACTAAACCAGGACTAAAACAGATTTAAACCATGTGTAAAACAGGACTAAACCAGAACTGAACCAGGAGTGAGTGTCGGGACTCGGTCTCTATCTCTTTCTCGAGCCCAAGATTAGTCCTGGTTTATTTATTTTATGCTGAACTGCAGCCAAATATGCACTTTTTTTTTTTTTAAATCCTATGCACATGCAGATTTCTGAAAGTTTCGTTTTCAGCCGCTGCTGCTGTCAAACTATGGGTCTACATGCGGCTTGAAGAGAAAAAGTGAGAAAAAGAGAAAACACGGCTCCCAATAAGAAGCAGGCTCCCGTTGTTCGCTTCAAAGAGTCGGCTCTAAGAGCTGCTTCTATCGCGACCGACCCATAACTCCTAGCTAGTAAACTATCGCTATTAGCCTTTAGCCGTAAAAACGTGCGCACCGCGGTAATTAATTATATGCATAAATGTGGATCATTCACACGTCTATTCACAGCTCATTTACATATCAATGCTGGTCCAGTAACAAATATACGGCCAATATAGTCACTTTACAATAGGCCAATAGAAAACAGCCTGTTTATGTGCCGTAGCTACAGCAGCTAATCGCTAATAACAAATAACCAAAACTAGCTTCAAAGTCGATGTATTTCCAACAATCAACACTCACACAGGCTCCTCCTCACATCACAAGTCTGAACTAATAAAAGTCCTTTTAATCCAGACTCAAACTGATTGTCTGTAAAAAGAAAATAATCTCAGTGTTGCGCACCGCTGCGGGTGTAAACAAGAACACGTGAGTGAAGTGAAGTGACTCTGTGGTGTGTTCAGGGACAGTACGGACACACACAGACAAATTACACCGGAGATAAATACTGATGCGGAGCCACATATTAGGACATTTATCTGTCTGTAAATTGGATTAAATGAACATAATGTAGAGAGTCTAAGCTTTATAACAAGGTATAACATGCCCACGTGAAATATCGGCCGATATGTCTCCAGTTGCCCACATCGGCCGATATATCGGCCGGGCTCTAGTAGAGGTATTGGAAGTGTTAATAGTGATTCCTGTAGTAAGTATCAAGTTTTTGTGTGGTGCAGCATTGCTGTTGTTCTTTTGTTCTGACTACTTCTACTGGAGTGTTAGCAGTCAGAGCTGTACCTACACTGCAGATTGTGTGGTTGTGTTGTAGGCTGCGGGTGACTCAAACAGAGTATTGTGGGTTTAGTGGTGGTGACCTGTATCCACCATCGTACATAAATCAGAGGAGAATTCCCCTGTAGAGATACAGTAGGCCAGATGTATTTTCACATCTACATCCTCTTATGAGAAAGTATCTGTTAAATATTGATGTGTGCTGTTTGTGGATGTGTTTTTCATTAAAGGTGCATTTGTAACTTTTCTGGTGGAGGGACTGTTACCTACTTGTTTCTATGGAAATGTCATTGCTCTGCCTGGAATGCTCCACAGTGAAGGAAGTTCAGCCACCACAGCCTATTCCACCAGACTATTTCCTGGTGCTGATGTAGTATCTCATTTTGAGAGTTTAAACTGTTGGTCTGATTCTGCATCGACTTCTAAGAATTTATTTTCTAACACGATGTATCATATGAGTGACTGTTATTTTTTGTCCAAAATAAATTTGTATTATTTTGTTAAGAAAGTTGTTGTGTAGGATGTTTGTATGTTTTGACTAAATCAGTAGTCTTAATTCACAAAATTATCACTAATCAATTGCCTACTGTTTTGCACATTTGTCATGCGTAAAATTAGTTAATTTATTCTTCACCAAAATGAGTCTTCTTTTGGTAATCACTATTTTTGCTCCGTGCTCATTAGCCTTGATGATGATGAATGTATTCTTAATGTACCTTACCTAAAATGAACAACATTTGTTTCATTTGTACTATTAGTATGGTAGTATGGTAGAACATGGGCATTAGATAAAGTAAAAATACAAAAAAAAAAAAAAAAGCTAGAGTTAAAAGTCCAGCTCCAGTTTGCATGAGTTCAGGTTTGAGTAGAATTTTACACGCACAACGTGGCTCCTGGAAAAGACACTGGTTACCATGGCAACGATCTCGGACCTTTTTAAAAAAAAAAAAAAGAAAATTTTTATTTTTTTTTCTTTCTTGCTGTAACTTGATTCACATCATCCAACGAGTTTTTCTGCCCTCTGGTGGCCATTTTCCATGCCTACAATCCCTGATATTGACTGCCCCCCTGGGCTGTGATGAGTGAGACTGGTCCAGGGGGCCAGGGGTTTGTGTGTTGGAGCCTGTGTGATCTGATTGTGTTTCTCTGTCACTCTAAAAAATACGCACAAACACTTACAAGGTGGGGGACTTTGGTTTAAAAGATTCAGTATGTCATGGCCGTAGCGCCGCCTGTGTAAACTGTTTTCTTCAAATGTCATATTCATGACACAACAGAAGGCGCCTGTTTTTCAGCTGCGCTTGTTCTCTGCGGCTGCACGGATTATGATTGTCACCACAAGGTGCGCTGCTCCACTGTGGTTTATTTGGGTGACTAACAGCGGGTTATAAAAAGCCATAGGCCCTGTCATTATCGGTTGAGACCCAGGTTTCCTCTCCTACAGTTGGAGGTCTTCAGGACAATAAAAGTGAACAGTTGTTTACGCTATATGCTACATGGATGTGTCTGAAATCAAACGAGAAGACAATATTTCAGGTTCAGATAGAATAATTCGGGCTTTATTAATTCTCTGCAAAATTTTCCAAAAGCAGACATTCAGCGACATTTAGCAGCGGGAAAGAAATTGAAATTTGAATTCTCTGCTTTTCCCTTTGTTGTTGTGGTAAAGTCAATAAAAACAGAAGAAAACAAATGAATTAGAGTTACATGAAAAACAATCAAAGTTTTAAAGAAAACAGACATTTTCTTCGTAAATAGCAAATGGTCACATTTTTATATAGCGCTTTTCCACCTTTAAGGTGCTTTACATCAAGGAACCATTCACCCATTCACACTGCTATGCTTGGCTCAGGTGCACAACAAGAAGGGGAGATGACACCGTGTTGCTCAAAATAAGTTTTTTTCTTTTTTGTCATTCACTTTATTGGATTGTCTTTATGGAACTTTTGAGTAACTGCTTTGCAATATTTGACAGATCATCCAGCAATGATGGGTCCCCTATCAACATACCGACCAGCAGGCCTCCTGTTATTCCACACTCTATGTCCTTCCATTTTCAATTATAACTAGGTTTGCACCAGCCCACTAACGGGCGTAACTGTGATGCTCTGTAATAATCTTGAAGACACGGAAGTGCTAGACCTCCTCTGTCCTTTGAGTGTTGTAATGTTTTATATTTCACCCTTGTTTTTTTGCCTGCCCATACAAATCTTGAGATAATCTTATCCCATTCTGTAAAACCAAGACTGAGACAGCATGCGAGAGTCATATTGACTGTCCAAACTAAATAACAAACATGTGTTATCAAATTAAGTTTGATATTCTTAAAAATAAATATATTACAGTAGTGAATTTCCCTCGGGATCAATAAAGTATCTCTCTCTTTCTTCATTCACAAAGTCACGACAGCAAACTACCAAATAACAATAGAGCTGATTCACTGTCACAACGCAGAGATGAGTAACGCAGGGAGAAGTTAGGAGGGGAAATCTCAAGTAAATGTGAATGTAACTTGCGTGTGTGTGTCTTGTAAAAGTTTCAGGGAGGCCCCACGAAGCAGAGGGAGGGAGCTGTTACATCATCTGCTCATCTGATTAACTGGCCTCTCTCTTTCCTCCTCCTTCAAACCATCAGCTGTCCAGGCGTTCGTCCTCAGTGCAGGTCAACAGGTGAGGCTGTTTTAACTATTTCTGTGTTTATCTTGTATTGTATTATGGTAATACAAGCCCCTGCTGACTGTTTGTAAATGTTGGTCATTCTTATAATTTTTTTCTAATTCTAAATTGAAGAGCTTTGTTTGAGATTTTTTGTTGAGATTATCACTTCATCTTTTTAAAATTTATCTATAAACAGGCCATGACAACTAAAATATGCGAAAAACCTGGGCCCCCAACCACAAATTATAATATTTTTGTAAGAATTCAAGTGAGAAAGCAGCTCAAAACTAGTTATCCTGAATTACGAAGAAAATATAATACACCATTAGTTTTGTTAATGTTATTAATATATATTTTTATTATGTTTTTTTGCATCCTCTTTTATAAGTTCCTTTACACAATTTAGACATCTTTAATTATATTTTGCCGTATAAAACTGTTCTTTACATCTTTTTTCATGTATTTTGATGTATTTTCTATCATTTTTTTTAACTTCTGATTTTAAAACGTAGCCCGACCCTGTTTCCTTTTCCCCTCTTTCTCTGAATGTAAACACAAAAATACTATCTTGCTCCGAAAATGTATAGATAATGCATATTTTGACCCAGAAATGTGGTTTAAAAGCCACCTATCTTCCTCGATAACATCTCAAAACAGAAACCCGCAAATCCCCAGAAATCCATTATCACTAAAACACCAGATGGTAAAGTGACGTATTCACCTCCAACTAAACCCGTACAATATTTAATTAAGTAGATTTTAGTTACATTCATTCAGTAGCTCTAATTACCGCTTGAATTGTGAGATTTTGACTAGTATGAATGTAAAATTATTGCATGGTTTTGCAAATGTGACGTATTCGGAGCCTCACTCGGTTTTACGTCATATCAGCACCTTTGAGGTCTGCTCATATTGATAATGTTTCGTCAGGAGCCGCACCCAAGAGGAGGAACTTATCACTTTTATGAGGCGGTCACTATGAATAATTATCTCCTAATATTTCAACATTTTAAATTACGCTGAACTTATGACTTCTGAATGTTTTTACGGTTTAGTTTATAGTATTGTATCTGACTCATTTATGAGCAAGTTGAAGAATATTTTGCTTTACTTTACTTCACTTTATTATATTATTTTACTATATTTTGCTTTTGTAATAGCTACCTTATTACAACGTCCAATATACATTGTTTATTATGGACAGTAGTTTGCCTCCCTGCTGTTTTTAAATATCAGTCCTATTCAAATTATGTATTTAACGTGTTTTTGTAATTATTATTTAAGGCAGACATGTCAAACTCAGGCCCAGGAGCCAAATTTGGCCCGCGATACAATTATATTTGGCCCGTGAGATCATACCAAATATATATTAGAGCTGGCCGGCCGGCTACAGATTCAGGCTATATTTTTTTATTTATTTATTAAAATTTTTGTTATTACTTTATATTCTGCTTGTTCTGGATTCAGTGTTTAAGCAAAACTATTATTAAACATTTATTTTAACGAGAAAACAGGCAGATGTTGTTGAAATAAAAAAAAAAAAAAATTTAGTTTGGCCCACGACTTAATCCCAGTTTTTAATTTTGGCCCTCTGTGAATTTATGTTTTACACCCTTGTTTTAATGCATTTTTCACATTTTCAACATGTAAAGAGGAGCTGAGAAAATGTAAATACAAGAAGCACATTTCAAAACATGATTGTATAGATCTAAACTTCAGGGTTAGATGATTTTTTTATGCATGATAAAACTGAAAATTTTATTATTTGTGGAGGAGATTAAAGTACATAAAAAAATGTTGCCTTTTACGAGTTGTTAATTACATCCATTCACGTTCAAGTTTTGTTTTACTTTTGACCAAACATGGAGCAATAACACAAAGACATTTATTACCAGCAGCAAGTGGACTAAGGGAGTGTGATGTCTCTAGATTGTCTCTAGTAATGAGTTTATTTACAGACAAAACAGCAAAATAAAAACACCAGGATCATTTAGAGCGGGTTAATACGAACATTTTAAGACTGATGAGGCTCACAGCAGCAGGTACTGAGAGAGGGGTGACAGTTTTCCGTGTAAGGTCAATTGGAGCCAGAGTCGATGGATCCAGAAGCGCCCCCATGATCGCTTCCTATTTGGTATGCAGTGGCTCGTGTGTCAGCTACAGCATGTCCATTCATATAAACAATCTATGGTTGCAATACTATTGCTTTTAATACAATAAAATAATACAAAAAACACTAATAAACAAAAAACAAAAGACATAAAGGAACAGAAAATAGTAAATGCAAATTTGATCTAAATGTAAACACCCTAAAATGTAAATACACATGTAAACACTGCATTGAGAAACTCTGCACTCTACACCAGGAGTCACCAAACCTTTTTCTCTGGGGGGCCACATTATCGCTCCTGACTGTGATGAGGGTCGGGTCGGCCGTATAACAGAATTAAACAACCCTTTATATATACAGATTATATTGTTTGAAAACCACCACACTCTCTTTACATGTCAGACAAACTGCACAGTTCAACACTGAACAAAAAAATAATCAGTCGTCCACTGTTCTTTGAAAACTCAACACTCTGCGTGTGCTTTGACTCTCACTGTTTGATCTCGAGCTTGTCAGGTGACGAAAATTCTGCGGCAAATTCTGTGGCAAATTCTGTGGCAAATGTAAATAAAAACAACAAAATACAGGATGCAGACGTGTTAATATTTGCCAGAAAATAATAAAAGGGGGCAGTGGCGGGCCGAAGTTGGCTCGCGGGCCTTACTTTGATGACCCCCCTGCTCTACACTGTACTTCTTTTTATTTATTTATTTGTTGTTCTTTTGTTGTTTGTTGTTGTTGTTTTTTTGTTTTTGTATTTTTCTATGTGTGTTAGTCTTACATTTTGTTATGTCTTACGTTTATTTTGTTAGGAAAGTGCTGCATATTCATTCCCTTAAAACAGGCATGTCCAAACTATGGCCCGTGGGCTAAATGCGGCCCTCAGACAAATTTTTCTTGGCCCTCAGGCTTCCAGGTGAATTGGCCCAAATTACCTTGCATTAATTAAAAATGAACTCTAATGAAGTTTTATTGAATATTTAATATTTAGTGTGTGGTTTTAAGGATTTTAATAAAGACTGATGGCTCATTCTAACGTGTTAAATGATATGTGGCCCTTGATGAAAAAAGTTTGGACACCCCTCCCTTGAATAAAATAAAATAAATAGATAGATAAAACTCCTTTACAGTGGTTACATATTGTATGATCTTTGTTTTTTGTTTTTAAGTGTCAGAACAGCTCTTGATCCAAAATGGCTGCCTTCCTCCATCACTGCCCCTTCCTGAAGTCGGTCCCTCAGCCGGCTCTGAGAAGAACCGGAGCTGCCCTCATGTCCATGGCCGACCAGTGCCCCATCATCACGCGCCAGATCAGCGTGAGCTCGCTGGCCACGCTTGAGAAGCAGCCCGCAGAGTCTAAACCAACCCAGCGCGGAGTCCTGGGTCTGAACCAAAAGAGGACCGTGGCTCAAACTGCGACTGACGTGGCGGTCTCTGTGTCTAAAGGGTGTCCGTTTGTGAGCTCTCAGATCGGTTTGGTCCGAGCCAGTCCCGAGGTGCAGGAGGATGTGCAGGAAGGTGAGATCAGTCGTGGAAAAAGTACTCAATTTTGTTACTTAAAGGTTAATTTCCTCCTTGTTTCCATAGAGATGTTATTCCTTTGTCTAGAATGTTCCACAGTATTGATTAAACTTGTCTATCACGAGGGGAACAAGCAGGTGACAGCACTACGCTACATTACAGGTCAGATCTGTGGAGAGTCGCCCCTATCCACGAGAGAATTATTGTATTTTTGAGCAACAGAAACACCTGTAATGATGGAAATGTTTAATATCATACCATGGAACATTCCGGGCAAAGCAATAACATCTCCATGGAGACGAGCAGGTAGCGAACCCACCACCAAAAAAGTTGCGCAATTCCTATATAATGTACTGTATCTAGTTTGCAAATAAATAAAATAATAATAAAAAACAAACTATAAAACCAAGTAAACTTTAAAACCCACAAATAAAAAAAACAAAAAAATAATATAAAAAAAGTAAACTTTAAATCCCACAAACCAAAAAAAAAAAAAAAAAAAACCCTATAAAACCAAGTAAACTTTAAAACCCACAAACCAAAAAAAAAACCAACAAAAAAAAAAACACAAAAAACTATAAAACCAGGAAACTTTAAAACCCACAAACCAAAAAAACTAAACAAAAAAACAAGAAAGAAAGAAAAAAAAAAAACAGTTGCACAATCCACATGCTTAGATCTCAGAGCAAAACAATACTCAAGTAAAAGTATTTTGTGCAAATTTTGAGCTCTAACAAAGTTTCAAATGTATTAATTTTGCTAAAGATTTACACTGAATTTTGTTGAATAGAATTAATTATGCTGGTAGTTTTTTTCCTGTATGTTTTTATTCGTATATTTTACTTTATTTACATTATGAACATATTTAAAATAAACCTTCAGCTTTTTCAGCAGGTCTCAGACAGTAATAAAAATACTTTTACTTTTCAGTCCTGTTTAAAAATGTAGTGGAGGAGAAAGTAAAAAGTATCCCTTAAAATATGTATATGTAGTAAGTATAGTAAGTAAGTAAAGTACAAATACAGATACTTAATACTTCAGTACTTAACTATTTACTTTGTTATATTCCACTTCTGGGTGAGATTAATCAAAAAGTCTGATTAGTTTGTGGCAATAGTGACAGTAGAGTGACAAAATGTGAGGTATTTATGTGATCAAAGTAATTAAAAAAGGCTTGAGTTTTATTTTAACTTTGCCCGATACTTTGTTAGGCACAGTTGAGGTCCTCGCTGCTTCTTACTTATAAATTAACTGTGCTTATAAAACGGGACAACACCCAATGACAGTTAACATCCTTGTATCGCAAAGATAAGGCCCCAAATAAACGCGCCATTACATTACACACAGAATTTCAGAGTATTTAGAGCAAGACAATACAAATAACAATGTAATTATTATAACTTTTTTTTATTATTCCACAGGGAGGATGAAGTCTCTCCTGAAAAGTCTTAAGGAAACAGTTTTACCTTCTGCAGCTCAGAACAATCCCATCACGCAGCTTCTGAAAGACAATATGGGTAAGATTTGGTTACGTGTATCGGTGCAGTGGTTCTGCTTTGTCACTTCCAACACCGATTTTTAAGTATCTGAGCTTTAAGTATCTGCCAGTATCCGATATCAACCGATACTAGGCTAAAAACAGCAATAATTTCCTTTAAAACAAAACAAAACTGATCCAGACCTGTAACTAACTACACAACAGCTTTGTTACATCAATATATTTGTGCACCCAGGATATCGAATGAACCGATACTTGAAACCGATATCCAATAGAATAAATCTGACGATACCAGTACTGAATTGGTGCATCCGTAATTATATACAGAGATTTAATTTATTACCTACAAAGAGACACAGAGAACATATAAACAATCTGTCTACTTCAAAACCAAAGTCACCTTAAAAACTGGAGTATTCATTCTGTTGGAAGCTACTACTACTACTACTACTACTACTACTACTACTACTACTACTACTACTACTACTACTACTACTCCTAATACTACTACTACTGCTACTACTACTACTATTACTGCTCCTACTACTACTACTACTACTACTACTACTACTACTAGTGCTATTACAATTACTACTATAACTACTACTACTATTACAACAACTACTACTACAACTATTACTACAACTACTACTACAACTATTACTACAACTACTACAACAACTACTACTACTATTACAACAATTACTACTACTACTACTACTAGTGCTATTACAACTACTACTACAACTACTACAACAACTACTACTACTATTACAACAACAATTACTACTACTACTACTACTACTACTACTACTACTACTACTAGTGCTATTACAACTACTACTACAACTACTACAACAACTACTACTACTATTATAACAACTACTGCTACAGCTATTACTACAACAACAACTATTACTACAACTACTACAACAACTACTACTACTGTTACAACAACAACTACTACTACTAGAACTACTACTACTACTACTGCTCCTAATATTACTACTACAACTATTACTACAACTACTACAACTACTATTACGACTACAACTACTAGTACGACTAGTACTACTACTACTAATACAACTACTGCAACAACAACTACCACTACTACTACTACTACTGCTACTACAGCTACAACAACTATTGAGTAATTTTTAAAGTGGGATAAGTGAGAGTATATGTCAAGATGGAACTTTTTTAAAGGTGCACTGTGTAACTTTACCGGGGAGAGGATTCACCACCTCCTTGTTATTGCTTTGCCTGGGATGTTCCACAGTATGGCATTAAACAGATATATCTTATTATATTTATATTATATTATATTTCTTTGTTTTCCAGTTGGTCCGTGTTACGACTACGATCGATTCTTTGTGGAGAAAATCAACGAGAAGAAGCAGGACCACACGTACAGAGTGTTTAAGACCGTGAATCGTAGTGCCCACTCTTTCCCCTTCGCCCAGGACTTCTCTGTGGCCGGGCGCGAGGGGGCAGAGGTTTCCGTCTGGTGCAGCAACGACTACCTGGGCATGAGTCGCCATCCACGGGTCATCAAGGCCATCAGGTAGAACTGAAGTCTGATTTTAAAGGGCCCATTTTACGCTGTTATCTCATCTGTTATAATATTGTGTTTGGACTCGGTCTTGTCTCAGATTTGAAGGCATTTGGATTTGGTCTTGTCTCGGTCTTGAAGACGTTTGAACTCGGTCTTTTCTCTGTCTTGAAGGCATTTGGACTGGGTCTTCTCTTGGCCTTGAAGGCATTTGGACTCAGCCTTATCTCGATCTTGAAGGCACTTGGACTCGAAGGTGTTTGGACTCGGTCTTGTCTTGGACTTGACGGTGTTTGGACTCAGTTTTGTCTCTGTTTTGAAGGCATTTGGACTCAGTCTTGTCTCTGTCTTGAAGGTGTTTGGACTCGGCCTTGTCTCAGATTTGAAGGCATTTGGATTCGGTCTTGTCTCAGACTTGAAGGTGTTTGGACTTGGTCTTGTCTCGGTCTTGAAGACGTTTGGACTCGGTCTTTTCTCTGTCTTGAAGGCATTTGGACTGGGTCTTCTCTTGGCCTTGAAGGCATTTGGACTCGGCCTTGTCTCGATCTTGAAGGCACTTGGACTCGAAGGTGTTTGGACTCGGTCTTGTCTCGGACTTGATGGTGTTTGGACCTGGTCTTGTCTCAGTTTTGAAGGAGTTTGGACTTGTTTTTTTCTCGGTCTTGAAGGCACTTGGATTTGGTCTTGTCTCGATCTTTAAGGCATTTGGACTCGGTCTTGTCTCTGTCTTGAAGGTGTTTGGACTCGGTCTTGTCTCTGTCTTGAAGGTGTTTGGACTCGGTCTTGTCTCTGTCTTGAAGGTGTTTGGACTGGGTCTTCTCTTGGTCTTGAAGGCATTTGAACTCGGTCTTGTCTCGGTCTTGAAGGCAAAGGCACTTGGACTCGAAGGTGTTTGGACTCTGTTTTGTCTCGGACTTGACGGTGTTTGGACTCGGTCTTGTCTCTGTTTTGAAGGCGTTTGGAATCGATCATGTCTCGGACTTGAAGGCGTTTGGACTCGGTTTTGTCTAGGTCTCGAGGACTGACACTCGATGAGCGACTAAATGGAGATAGATTTATAAAAACACTGATATATATATGTGCCAAAATAACTGTATAATACAAATAAATGTCAAAAATGACAAAGATGGTCTTGATTTGGTATCGATGGCGCATGGCCTCAGTCTTGTCTCGGTCTTGGCCTTTAAAAGCCTTGGTCTTGTCTCGGCCTTGACCTTCAGGCCTTTTTGTCTTGGTCTCCGTACCCTGTGGTCTTGGACAGGTCTTGGTCTCGTTTAGTGCGGTCTTGACTACAACACTGCACAGGTGTTATACAGACCTATGGAGAAAGTTAGAGAGTTAGTTGTGTATCTTTATTATTCAGTCTGTAAATCTTTTTAAAAGTTTTAAAATCCTCTCTTCCCTTCAGTTCTGCTCTGGACAGACACGGTGCAGGAGCCGGTGGCACCAGGAACATCTCAGGAACCTCTAACTACCACGTGGCGCTGGAGAAAGAACTGGCACAGCTTCACCAGAAGAGCGGCGCTCTCGTGTTCAGCTCCTGCTTCGTGGCCAATGACTCCACTCTCTTCACTTTGGCCAAGATGTTGCCAGGTAATTTTACACCACAAAACTATATTTAAAAGAAATTAGAACAAAACAGTAGCAGAATAAAACCAGGTATAAGAAAGCTGAATGTCCATAAATCAACTCCATTTTCCTGACAGCTCTTAGACTTAGAATATATTGATCCACAAGGGAAATTACTTGGACACAGTAGCTCACACATCACAATATATGATAATAACAAAGAGAAAAAAGTACAAATGGTAACAATAAAGTGCAAGTAAGTAGCAAACATAGCAAGAGACAGGTGTCAAATAAGGCATAATTATATAAATGTACATGTACAAGTAAAAATAAAATTGAAATAAGTAGCGGTGTAACAATATCCAAGTCTCACGGTACGATATCTTCACGGTATGAACCTCACAGTATGATATTTATTGCGATATTTTGGGAAAGCTCACAATGTGGTGGGGAGGCTCACGATTAGGAATATAACAATATCTAAATCTCCCAGCATGATATTTTCACAATATGCATCTCACAGTGCAATATTTATTGCAATAAAAAGGCCTTGACAAGACTTAATCCAAAGAACTAAGACTTAAAAGTGCTTAGAACTGTTATTTCTTCTTGTAGTTTACACTGAAATGGAGTAAAGGATTATGGTCTATGTAATTCCTGAAGAACTTTGATGATACGATATCACGATATTTTGGTTATTGTTACAGTACATCCCTATAAATAAGTAATACAAATATCTCAGAAATATACAAGAGGAAGAAAAAGGAGAACAAAAATGATATAGTCTGGTGCAGTGAGTGAGCAGGAGTGTCCATAAATAACGGCCTATACTTACTTGACTTACCTTCAGTTGCCCTCATAGTTCATTCAGTGTGCTCACGGTGCATTCACTGTCCTCACGATGCATTTGCTGTCCCCTCGAGGCTGCGAGATCTACTCTGACGCGGGGAACCATGCCTCCATGATCCAGGGCATCCGGAACAGTGGAGCCAAGAGGTTTATTTTCAGACACAATGACAGCAAACACCTGGAGGAGCTGCTGCAGAAGTCTGACCCGACCACGCCCAAGATCGTGGCCTTTGAGACTGTGCACTCCATGGACGGTGTGTATACTTTTTATTCAGATTTCAAGTATTTATTTAGATGCGAGTGTGTTTAAATGCTCCATATTATGCTGTTTATAATGTTGTTTCCTCTTCAAAAACTCCGTACACCTTCACTAGAATCATTTGGATAATTTCAGTTCTGGAATTGCCAATCTCTACTGAACTAAAGGTAAACTGTAGCTGTCAATTTGAAAACTACCTCTACATGACAACACAAGGTGGAACAGAGCATTTTGAGCTCACATGCGAATGAAACAAAACACAAATCCAGTACGTTTTTGATGAGGTAACAACTTTATAACATGACTTAATATAATATAAGTCAAATGAAACAGAAAACGCACACCAAAGTTCTTGTAAAGGTGCAATTGCAAGGAACAGCAAAATAAAAGTGAAAAAATGCATAGCACACTCAAATAGCTGATGTCCTTTTTTTATTTAACACTGTAAAAAGCACGAAAATATATCTGATCAAGGCTTTTTTTGCCGAAATGTTATTTAAAAATTTTAAAAAAGCTTTTAGACATTGACCATCTGAGTGTGCTATGCATTTTTTCACTTTTATTTATATAATATAGGATCTTTGAAGGTGGCCTATGTAACTGTAAGCAAGTGGAACCACCAAGTCAAGTTACTAGGTAGACCTGTGAAGAGGAGAGCCCGCTTGAATATCTATCTTGAACACGCGCAATTAGAGATAGCAACTTGGTCCCCCATGAGGCATCGGTGGGGTCAGTTCATCACCACAGAAGCAGTTCATGAGGAGCCCAGCCCAAATTACATGATCGTTATATCCACAATGTAATGTGTGTATCTGTACAGGCCCATGAACATTTGTGTGATATTGGTCACACATGAGAACATCTGTGTTTACTAGTGTGTAACGAAAATGTAATTTTCGAAAGTTCTGTATATGTTAGTTGTGTGACTGTATCAGTGTGTTGTGTATCACCAGAAAAAGAAGAAATGGAAATAATTTTCGTTCCAATTAGAATTTTAGCGGCTACACTGAAAAAGAAAGGAACTGTTATAATTAGTGATTACCTCAAAAACTATTCATATTTTACTATACAAATGCATAGAATTATAAATAGATAATATTTTTTCTGAGATTTTGAGACCACTACCGTTGCTCTAGCTCGATCCTTCGCGAAGTTATGACCAAAAACGCTGGTTACCTTGACCTTCAAGTGACCTTGACCGGTTTAAACCTGTAACATCCAGTGTACCCTGGTTATGTGTGTGCCAACGTGTGTGATGATTGTGTGAATATTTTAGCCTGCAGATGGTTCAGAAATTGCCAAAATTGCCAATCCTTTATAATGGCATGACCTTTCAATTGACCCATGTGACCTCAAATGACCTCTGATCATCACTAAACTTTTTTTTGCGGCATCGAGCACAGGGGGCTTGACCCACGTACCAAATTTGGTGATAATCGGTCCATAAATGGCGGAATTATCGCGGGTGGACAGACACACACAGACACAGGGTGAATACAAAACCTGGTCAACCCTTCGGGGACCAGGTAATAAATGCAAGATAAACATGTTTAATGCTATACTATGGAACATTAAAGGCAAAACCATCACACATAAATAAAGTGATGCATGTGGGAAATAAGTTATGCAATGGGTATTATTGCAATGCACTAATCCAGGTGTGTGTGTTGTCTGTAGGTGCGATCTGCCCCCTGGAGGAGATGTGTGACGTGGCGCACAAATTTGGAGCTCTGACGTTTGTGGACGAGGTTCACGCCGTGGGTTTGTACGGAGCCCACGGAGCTGGAGTCGGAGAGAGGGACAACATCATGCACAAGATCGACATCGTGTCTGGAACTCTGGGTGAGTTTAGTCAGACAGGAAACGGCAACGTAATTTAGCTGAATATGCTTATTCGATTACATTATTTTTATTTAGTTTGTTTATTTATTTGGAGGATAAGTCACTAGAGATGTCTGGGTTCTCATAGTTACAAAAGCAAAAGACAGATACAGTAGGGCAGACAGTAGGCTACATAAATTCAAATAACTGTCTTGACCGACTCTTGCAAGTTTGGAGTCAAAGTGGGGCAGCATCTCATTTTTAAATTGCTGTAGAGTGTCAGTCAGGGTTTTGTTGTTCACAGACTGGTCCAACTCTGAATCCATGTTGTTAGTTGGGTAACAAAGGACATGTGGAAAACTTGATGAATTCAGATCCACAAAGTAAATAGAAGAATGCAAGAAGTTGAGCAGATTTTGCGCATTATAGAAAACAGACTGAGGGTTCCACTTCAGCTCGCATCAGCCATACTGCTCTGTCAGCCTTCTTTATAAATAAATGGTTACTTTTATGGGGCAAAAGTGTAAAATCGCAAATAAGGGAGCGAAATATTTGTATTTTCCTGACTTTGCCAAAAGAGGTCAGCTCAGGTCACAGCCTTATCAGCTCTAAGTGAGTGTGGAGCTGTAGATAAAACTCTCATCCAGATACATATGTCAGTCCGGTTTATGTGTCCAGTGTAATGTTACATCACCAAATATAAAGTAAATGAAGTAAACCTATGCAACAAAGACCAGTGTTGGCATAATCATTTGTTGTAAATAATGGTAGTAAGTCTGTGGTAGTAGATCGAAGTACGTAGTAATAGTAGTAGTAGTAGTAGACAGAGCTGGGACCAAGTCTTTGTTTTGCAAGTCTCAAGTAAGTCTCAAGTCTTTGATCTCAAGACCAAGTCAAGTCCCAAGTCAAAGACAGGCAAGTCCAAGTCGAGTCTCGAGTCACTGATCCCTAAGTCCAAGTCAAGTCCAAGTCATCTGCTTTGAGCTTCAAGTCATTTCAAGTCTTTAAACCAAAGTACCAAATATATCTTAGATTTTTGCAATTTATATGAATTTTAAACTAAATTGTACTTTAAAAGTCATAGTATATTTAAATATGAATATATGAGTTGTAGAAAAGGGTTAATTTTTCCTTTTTAAATGTCTTAACAAGATCTTTGTGTGAATCATTACAGTCAGAATAGAAAGAATTCTGATTTAAAAGTGCTTCTCAAGTCTTCTCAATTCAAAGGCCTAATGTCCGAGTCAAGTCCCAAGTCACTGACCTTCAAGTCCAAGTCCAAGTCGAGTCCAAAGTCTTAGTCCATTTTATCAAGTCAAGTCTCAAGTCCTAAAAATAGTGACTCAAATCACGACTTGCAAGTTCCCACCTCTGGTAGTAGATACACACTCTACTACTATTTTTTTTTTTTTTCCACTTTTTTTTAAGATACATCTTTTGGTGTGCTAGGTGTGCAATTAATGTTATTTTAAAAAAGTACACAAAAAAACAAAACAAAACAATTACGATTATTTTTTACATTTGACTGGTTAGTCCTAATGACTACATTTGCTTCTACCTGTGTTAATTGTTTAAAATTTGTATAAAGAAATGTATACACTTCCAAGGTTATAGTTGGATTCAGTATTTATCTGATTTTTCTTGACTGCGGCTGTACAATAATTTAGATTTTTGTTGTTTCGTATTATATAAAGGAATGGATAGAGTATGTTTAGTACTTATTTTACCATGTACTAGTCATTTTGGACATTTAAAGCAATAATTACGTTGTTTCCTTCCCAGGTAAGGCCTTTGGTTGTGTGGGAGGTTACATTGCCAGCAGCGCCGCCCTGGTGGACACAGTTCGATCCTACGCTGCGGGCTTTATCTTCACTACTGCACTTCCCCCCATGGTCCTGGCGGGGGCGCTGGAGTCCGTGCGGGTCCTGAAGAGCGCGGAGGGTCAGGCTTTACGCAGAGCTCACCAGAGAAACGTCAAACACATGAGACAGCTGCTGATGGACCGCGGGCTGCCTGTGGTCAACTGCCCCAGCCACATCATCCCCATCAGGGTAAGAGGGGCCGGGGTCTGGGGTCTGTGTGGAGGTGTGGAGGAGGGAGAAGAGAGGAAGGAGTGAGGATAACAAGAGATAGTAGGACAATTCAAGAACAACAAAACAAATTCAGAGGTTGATGGTTCAGTCTCTGTTCCAACAGCAGCATTGTACTGTTGTGCATATATATCTGGATGGATGTGTATGTGAACGATGTCCCAGCAATATGAATCTTTTTACTCTTAGATCAATAAGTTAATAGTTAATCTAATAGTTTAAAATAAGAAGAGTTTAAAATAAGTACAAGTTAAAAATAATAAGATTGTCTTTCACTATTAATGTGCTTTACAGGCTTGTCGAAGCCTCTCAAATAACTACACTGTCTCACTGTCATCATTATTGATTCACTTCACACTCGGGGTGTTAAGTGTCTAAGGCAGGGTTGGGCAAACTTTTTGACTTGTGGGCTACAAAGGGTTCTAAAATTTGACGGAAGGGCCAGACCGAGAGCAGATGGATGGAGTTTTTTTGTAATTCACCTCATAAAAGAAAATAATAACCCATGTTATTGAAATATCCCATAGTTGAAAATCGTTACAAAGCATTACAACAAAATATCTGTGTTTCAAGTCCCACGATATTTGCTATTTATTGAAATGACTTTTAAAACACAGAAAATTACTATTATTATTATTCAAGTTCAGCGGGCTGTATTAAAAAGATTAAAGGACAGCATATGGCCCCTGTGCCGTAGTTTTCCCACCCCTGGTCTAAGGACACAATAATAGAATTTGGTCTGAGCTGGAATCAATCTTCCGACATTCAGGTTGAGGGACCACTGCTCTAACCACGAGCCACTGTCACCAAAGTTATGGTTATTGTTTAGGTTAAGGTTAGGCAAGTACTGACTACGGTTCAGGCTCCAGAAAATTAAAATAAATATTTGTAAGTATATTGGCCTCAAGAAGTATGGAAACAGATTGTGGGTGAGTGTGCTGGTGTGAATGTCCCCACCAAATAACGAAAACACTAATAATCATTGCTGCACAGTGGGAGAGATTAACATAACTTAAAAGTAATTCAAACATATTGTATAGCTAACAGTGTATTTACATATTATTGCACTCTTTGCTATGAATAATTGTTCTGTTGTTGAATAATTGTCAATAAATATTGTAGGTTGGAAATGCCGAGCTGAACACCAAAGTGTGTGACACTCTCCTGGAGAAATACAACATCTATGTCCAGGCCATAAACTACCCCACTGTCCCCCGAGGAGAGGAGCTGCTGAGGCTGGCCCCGTCCCCACACCACCAGCCGGACATGATGGAGTACTTTGTTGGTGAGTTATCGAAGACTTTATAAAACTTAAAGCTGCACCACGTAACTTTCTACGGAAGCCGAGAGGGGTCACAACAAACGCAAATGCCGCAACAAATACAAATGCGACAACACACCAAAAAAAGCCACAACGGAAATGATCGCGGGACTCTATTTTAATGCAAATGCCGCAACAAATACAAACGCCACAACACAAATGCAAATGCTGCAACACATCAAAAAGCCACAACACATCAAAAAGCCACAACGGAAGTGAACGCGGGACTCTATTTTCCGACAGACCGATCATGCGGCAAGTGAAGAAGAAGAACTACAACGTGAAATGAATAATTATAAAACAATAAATTACTTTTACTTACGTTTCCAACTTCTCCGTTCCTTTACTTTTCACTTTGTAGTTCTTCTTCTTCACTTGCCTCTTGATCGGTCCGTCGAAAAATAGAGTCCCGCGGTCACTTCCGTTGTGGCTTTTTGTTGTGTTGTGGCTTTTTAATGTGTTGCAGCTTTTGCGTTTGTGTTGTGGCATTTGTATTTGTTGCAGCTTTTGCATTAAAATAGAGTCCCACTGTCATTTCTGTTGTGGCTTTTTTTGGTGTGTTGTGGCTTTTTGTTGTGTTGTCGCATTTGTATTTGTTCCGTAACTTTCTGGTTGGGGGACCGTCACCTGCTTGTTTGCTGCACCGCTATGTCATTGCTCTGACTGGAATGTTCCGCAGTATGACATTAAACAGCTCTACCTACAGGTGATTTTATTGCTCAAAAATACCTAGAAAAACAGGCATTTCCCCGGGTCGCCTCGACATAGATCTGACCTGTAAAACCTGGTCTGGTTTAGTCTCTGTGAAGATAGAAAAGTTCAATACCACACTGTGAAACATTCTAGACAAAGTAATAACACCTCCACAGGGAAAAGCAGGGGGCAGACCCTCCAAAAAGAAAAAGAAAAGTTACACAATGCAACTTTAACACAGCTTTAATTATTCACGAGGAAAAACCCTTTGTTTGGATTAACTGTAATCATATGAAACAATAGGGCTGGACCGTTAATAAAATTATAATTAAGATCGAGACTCAGTCATTTCTAATTGTCAATGATCATCTTGGGACTTTTTAATCCTCTGTCACTAAAACATGAAGTTTGGAGCAGCGTTTTATTATTAAATAGCACTGATTAGTTAATTAATATTCAGAAAATTTATTTTGAAAGGCATTTTTAAACACAAACCATTATTTAATATTATAAGAGATTACTTTTTTGCTGTATCACCTGTGAAGGACGGTACAGTTTTTGTCATTTGTACTACACTTGTGTATCAATAAATCAATATTGTAAAATTTAAAAGTACATATATAATGTATAATATATAATTATTATGGCAGACCTTTTTATATATTTAAGTGACTGAAGATATTAAGTACCGATAGAAGCTAAAAGTAGTTGTAGTTGTCGTAGTAAGTTGTAGCAGAATTGATGAACTCAATAAATTCAGTGCTGATTTGACAACGAAGTACTAGTTGTAGTAATAGTACTGCAGTATTTATAGGCTGTATAGGACTTTTTTTTTTAACAACATTTATACAATTTATTTAGTATTTAGTAAATCCAACAATTTGTCTCATCATTAAAATATAACAGCTTTATTTTACAACAAAGTTCTCTTTTCTTTGTGCAGATAAACTTGTGGAGGTGTGGCAGGAGGCTGGTCTGGTTCTGAACAACCCAAACCTGGCGTCGTGCAACTTCTGTAACCGCCCGCTCCATTTCGACCTCATGAGCGAATGGGAAAAGTCTTATTTTGGAAACATGGAGCCTCAGTACATCACTGTGTTAGCCTAGGATACTAAATCACACAGTATATTTCCTAAAGATATACTTATAATTCTGCTGTATCATTACATGTGGACATTATTCTGATTTATAAATAGTTTGTTAATGTTTTATTTATTATAATTAATCAGTATAAAGTAAAAGGTGCCCTTCAGTGGTAAAGACAAATCCTGCACTAGGCACTTTCTCTCCATTTAAGAGTGAAGAAATAAAAGGCTTTTAAAAGAGTTGTAAATTGGTGCTGTGGGCTATTAAATAAAGCTTAAATAAATAAACGATTACTCAAAAGTGTGTACTCCATTTTGGTTGCATGTCTAATGTAGGATTCATAATTATGTAAGTAAATAAAATAATACATAGTTGTTTAAAATTGCCAGTTAAAGTCTGTATGAGAGACAGTTTTTTTAAATTTAAGTTGGTGGGATAATAATCAAGAGATGTAGTGGTTCATTGTACAAAATGGTTGCTAGGTATGAAAGTCCCAAGTGTTTAAACCTAAAAAAATTTACAAATTGGGGAAACGGATGTGAATTTTTGCTAAAATCTTAAATAAAATTACGTTAAATGTGTTTTGGTAAAATTAGGAGTCTAACCAGTCACAGGCACTTGAACACAAACGGTGGGTAATATGCAAAATAAGTTCATATCACTTTTTAAAAAAGTATTATCACAATTTTTATCACGATTCATATACACGTACAGGCAATGTTGGGGAGTAACAGATTACATGTACCGGAGTTACGTAATCAGAGTACAAATTATGAGTAACTGTTACAGTTACTGTTTCAATGAGTGGTAATTAGATTACAGTTACTTTGTTGAAATAAATGGATTACAGGGCGGTATTTTCCTGTTTTCACATTTTGGGCTATTCCCTTTTTTTTTTTTGTCTGGTAATTCCACTCATTGCTGGACACTAAACCAGGTCTAAACCTGGTCTAAACCAGGTCTAAAACCAGGTATAAACCTGGTCTAAACCAGGATTAAACTAGGACTAAAGCAGGACTAAAGCAGAACTAAAGCAGAACTAAAACCAGGTCTAAACCAGGACTAAAACCAGGTATAAACCAGGACTAAAACCAGGTCTAAACTAGGTCTAAACCAGGTCTAAACTAGGACTAAACAAGGACTAAACCAGGTCTAAAATAGGATTTAACATGACTAAACCATGCTGCATGGACCATGACTCCTCCTCTTTTATCAATAATATTTTTAATACGGTTAAGTCAATACTCTGCCTTTTTATTTTCTTTTAGCAGACAAAACATCTTATGTTACAATATCCTAGTCTTTGCTTCTCTACAGTAAATCAAGCAGAGTATTCAGATTACGTTACTCACTTTAAGTAATTTAATGGATTACGTTACAAACTATATTTTGGTGTATGTAATCTGTAATCTGTAAAGGAATACATTTTAAAAGTCACCTTCCCAACACTGAGTACAGGTCCTTTGGGTGTTAACTAAACCTATTTGCGTCTTCTGAAAGTTAAAATTTCTCTGTGTTTGGTAAATTCTACTTGTCTCACGCAAAGCCTTAAATATTACTCTATTTTCTGATCTATGTTATAATGTTGCTTCCTCCTCCAAAACATACCTGGAGTTGTGTTTTGTCTCATTCACACATGTTTAAAACACACAAATCTCGCATATTTAGTTAGGTTGTGTTCTTCCCCAAACTGAAAACACCTTGTAATTCATGTAGTAATTCAGGAAGTGCTTCACTGTGCAGTTTAACAGGAGGACTGGTCAGGTAGTGTCAGCAGATCCAGGTGAACACAACAGGAAAGGCCACGTTGTTACTTCGCTCTGTTGTTTTGTGGTGATTACCGTATTTTTTGGACTATAAGGCTTAAGACTTAAAACCCAGAGATGTTCATTTTGACTTCTTATATACTTTAACTTCTTGGGTTCTTTTTAAAGACAGTACAGTAAAATGTTTTTACCTTGTTGACATGTTTCGGCTTCTGCATCTTCAGAACTGTCACCGGTGTTGGTTTTGACGTGTCGTATATCAGCTGTTGTTACTTCCTGTAGGTGTGGTCAGACCTGATGGACCTGCAGGTCGCTCAGACTGACCACACCTCCCGTCGCCCGATGTTGTCTGGAGGAGGGAGTCCCAGGTGTGTGAAAGGAGGAACGCTCTGTCATCACGGTTAATGCTCTCCGTGCCTCGTTTCATGATTTCGATGGCCTCCCTGATCCAGCGTTTGAACTTGTTGTTTTCTGATCCAGCAGCCGAAACATGTCAACAAGGTAAATGCACTTTACTGTATTGTCTTTAAAAAGAACCCAAGAAGTTAAAGCACTTAAAACCCTTTCTCAAAAATCGGCAGTGTGCTTTATGTATTAATTCTGGTTGTGCTTACTGACCTCGAACCGATTTTATGTGGTACACGGAGCTCAAAAATCTGTCAAAATGTTTTAGTGTGACTTTGGTAAACTACGAAACTGCACCGCCGGATGGAAACCACAGAGTAAAGTCCAGTTTACGGTCCTTAGTCTGACAGAAGCTGCACAAGGAGTGAGCTGTTTTTTCAGGGTTTATAATTTATGCAAATGAGCCATGTGGTTTTTAATCTTCATTCATTCTTCATTTGTGTAAAATGTAAGCAAATGTGCGCAAAGTTGCATTAAACACATTATTACTCAGTGTATATTTGAGTCATCCTTGTAAAAAAAAAACAAAAAAACAAAACTTAAATGATCCACTCACATTCACATTCATAATACACATTCACCAAGACAGGGAGGCAACGCCGGGCGAATTACGCCACGATCTGCCGATGGATCGTGGACGCCTGGGCTAAGGGATCAGTCTCAAGTGTCGTCCGTTTGTTTCTCTTAATGCGCCTTATAACCTGGTGCAACTTATGTATGAAAATAGAAGAGAGAATTCAACATTATTGATATTGTGCCTTATAATCCAGTGCACCTTATTGTCCAAAAAATACGGTAAATGGTTCATTGCCTCAAAATATCTCCTTTGGAAGGTCTCGGAGTATTTCCTCTGGACCACATTTGCTGCCACATGTGGAGTAAAAAGCCTGTAGCATCTCAAATGTCCATAGCTCGCTCCTTAGTTAGCCTCTTGCACATTCTTTATGCGTACGGGAAAAACTAAAACAATGAAATCCTAATTCACATTACACGGACTGGTCACTTCTCTTTTCACCCTTGTCCTTAGTCTCTTTAGCTCTGCGTTCTCACTGTCCACCGCTAACCCACATTCTACCAGCGTCCAGGCCTTGTCCAACTGCTGCTCCCCGTAATGCTGCAGCGCCCCCTTCAGGAAGCACTCTGCCGCTCTGCTCCTGCCCAGACCGGACTCTATACACCCCACAGCCTGCTCCCGGTGAAGTCTCAAGGCCTTGGTGAAGTCCTCCAAAGCAGGACCGTCTTTTGAACTTAGCAATAAACTCCTTCCCCGTCTACACAAATCCTCAGACTGGATTTTGAGCTCGTCTTCGCCACAGGGGGCGCTGTTGTGGCGGAGGATGACGCGGTCCAGGTCGGAGATGGCGCGCTCGTGCAGTCCCAGCTGTGCCAGGCAGGCGGCGCGCTGGCGGAGGTACTGGAGCTTGTGGTTACCGACGGCCTGGACGGAGACGGTGAGGAGGGACAGGGCCTGGTCCCACTGCCCGCTGGAGGACACTCTGCTGGCTTCTGCTGCTCCCGCCTAAAAGGGAGAAAACACTGTTAAAGCTGCACTGCGGAACTTTTCTGGTAGAGGTCTTATGTATCTGCTTGTTTATATAGGGATGTATATGGGGATTCTTTGCATGAAATGTTCCAAAGTATGGCATTTATTTTCATTCGACCAAGCCAAGTTACATATCAGGATGAAACATTTGTAATTAAAGTATATGCAAGATAAGTCCGTGTATCATCCGTTCATTCGTTTTTCAAAATCAAAAATAAGAAAATGAAAAAACAACTATTTTCTTCTTTGTCTCCAAAACCAAAATTTAAAAAACGGATAACGATTCGTTTCCTGTTTCCGTGATTTAAACTGCGATGCTGGACTTTTGTGCTGCATACTGACTGAACCAGGACAAAAATAGGACTAAAACAGGACTAAAACAGGACTGAACAGGTCTAAACCAGCTCTAAGCCAGAACTGAACCAGGAAAAAAACAGGTATCAGTCTTGGTCTCAGTTTCAGTCTGGTCTCGGTCTGAGTCCCGGTCTGGTCCAAGTTTCCTGATCACCCAACAGTGTACGTGGGCACATGTCCGGGCCAGTCCCGACACTCCTGGTTCAGTCCTGGTTTAGTCCTGGTTTAGTCCTGGTTCAGTTCTGGTTTAGTCCTGGTTTAGGACTGAGAACGGGACTGGACCAGGACCAGGACCAGGACTGAGACCGGGACTGAGACTAGGACTGAGATTGAGAGTTTAGCCCTGGTTTAGACCTGGTTTAGTCCTGTTTTAGTCCTGTTTTAGTCCAACATCGCAGTTTAAGTCATGGAAACGGGAAACGTCCATTATCTGTTTTTTCCATTAATATTTAAACACAAAATCAAAAACTGAAAAAAACTAATCGTTATCCATATTTTCATTTTGGTTTTGGTGACAAATAATGAAGAAAATTGTTGTTTTTTAGTTTTCTTACTTTTGGGTTTATATTGAAAAAAAGAATGAACGAATGATACACGGATTAACATAGATATTTAATGCCATACTGTGGAATATTCCAGGTAGAGACCCGCGGGACCCGACGCTAAACAGTGCGACGCTGGACACATTTTAAAAGCTCACTACGAGCGCGGGCGGGAGCGGGACTGCGCAATGTGCAAACTAAATATGAGTGTAAAGTAAAATATAAAAATGATTCATGTTTGCTTATCGTACATCATTTGTGCTGGATATTTTATTTACCATTAATAAAAACAGCCTAAACTTTCACATGTGGTGTAATCTCATGCGCATTTTAGACAACTCCTTTCCCTTCTCCATGTTTGATAGAGCTTAAGAAAGCGAACATCCCCATCTTGCGGGTTTTGCGGGCGGGAGAGAGAATGAAAATTACAATTCTTTGAGGGCACGAACGGGAGCAGGACTGAAAATACTGTCCCATGCAGATCTCCAATTCCAGGTATAGAATTCGTATTATATCTTCATGGAGACAAGCAGGTGACAAACCCCCAGTCAGAAAAGTTACATAGTGCATCTTTAACTAAATGGTGTTAAAAGGTGATTCACAGATTATTTCAGGGGCCCAGAGTGACTTTGTCCTGTTCTTTAATTTGGCAACTCAAACCCCGATTTTGATAACATGTACGTGATATAAATT